TTTGAAAAAGACATCAGAGTGACTAGAAAAGAACAATATGACAGAAATTAAACATGATTTTTATGCATGGTTTCGAAGCATTTAAACTCATCTCAACCTCCATTGAAATTCTGATCATACCCAAACCCCAAGGCTTTTGACATACTTTCATAAATCCACACCTCCTCTCTCTCTTGTCTAATCTCCAGAGTCACTGTGAGGTATCCCACAAGTTAAAGTGGTAAAAATGCTGAATTCTAATATCAATATGAACCCACAGAAAATACCACTTAATTGTCAAAATGAAAAACAGATACAAGAAACATAAAATACTGTATATATTCACTAGGTGGCATTTTCCAATGCTTAATGGTTAACAGAAAAATGCACCTTTCAAAAAACATATATATCTAGCAAGACTTAATAGTAATTTCTCTAGCTTAATGGAGAAAGTTGCAACAAAATAATGCTACAGATATTATATGACCATAATAATGCTTTATCAGGACACAAAGAAAACACCACCATACATTTAATTCATTTTGTGATCTTCAGAATTAAAATTCTTAGAACGCTGTTAGAATTGAGAAGTAAACAGCCACTGAGATGAGGTTTATACACAAATACGCATGAATCATAGAAACAGTGCCCAAACTTCCACAAAGTAATTGGATTTTCAGAACTGCAAGTGGGTTTATTCCAATTCAGTCATGACAGGGCCAGAAGGTAATGATACATCTGCCATGATGCAACAAGCAGACCTGTCTTCTGTCAAGAGTTGAAATCATAAAGGAATAAGCTGTCGTTAACAACCTCTCTCCAAACACTAGAGCTGTCATCTCATTGTTTTCCTTTGCTGGCATGGGGGCTAGGGTGGGCTTATATAGCCTGTCATTCAATATTACTCCAAGCATTTAACCTTCCCTCTCAATTTTCTTTAAGCAATCTTTGACTGAACTTAGACAAATTTATGACTAATTACCTACTTATAAAGTTTCTGTATAAAATTCATTTGGATATAAATCCATTCAATCAGATTTTAATAGGCACTATGTATTGTGAATAAATGTATAACTACCACACATTTTTAAAAAAGGAAATAAAACATATACAGTGGTACCTTTGTTTATGAACTTAATCCATTTTGGAAGTCCGTTCTTAAACCAAAGCTTTCTTAAACCAAGGCATGCTTTCCCATAGCAGCGGCGGACTCAATTTACAAATGGAACACACTCAACAGAAGTGAAACATGTTCTTATTCCAAGGCAAAGTTCACAAACCAAAACACCTACTTCCGGGTTTGAAGCATTCTTAATCCAAGTTGTTCATAAACTAAGCTGTTCCTAAACCAAGGTATCACTGTATGTCTATGCTCTCAGTGTTTCCTGTTTTTGTATATGTATGTTTGGGATAAGGAAGAACTTTTTTTTTACATTCAGTATTTTATTAAATATATTTTCTAAACTGTTATCATGACCAACTTAATCATATAAAACTTAAAGACAAAAATCCAGAGTTGTTTCAGGCAGGCACAAGAGCTAGTGTATGCAAGTAAGTATTTTTTACTTTTTATCTTACATCTCACTTTTAAAAGTCCCCTCAGTTAAAACAACAACCACAACCCATACAGCACCAGGAAATTAAGAGACATACTAATAGAGACGCATGGGCACAAAACCTTATTGGATAGGGAACTAATTGTGCAGTTGGATTTGGACTCTCAGCCAAAGTGTGAACATACATGCTAAATGCTTGCTGCAACAAATAAGATATACGATGTCTCAGGACGTCGACTGCATGAGGCATATTTTGTTGCATTGGGGACAATATGATCAAGCTAGGGAACTACTGATTAAACCACTATTGGCAAATTGGCCGGGTCAATCTGAAGCCTACTATATCAAATATCTTCTGGACGGTAAGTCCAATGATATTACAACGGCCGTGGCAAAGTTTCCCTCAGTAGTCATACAAATCAAAGATCAACATACCCACGACTAAACAAATAACACTCGGTCTTCCTTTCCTGGGGGGTTGTCTGTATGAATCTGTATTTTATTCTGAATCCATGTTATGGACCACAATAAAGATTATAATTAAATAAGATATACCTCTTCAAGAATCCACCAGAACGACCAATCCCTGGCTCTGAAGCCAAATACACTTCAAACCTACAAGGCTTTCTGAGAGCAGGGAAGTTTTCACAAGCCCTTCCCAAATCTATGGACCCAAATCAGGCATGGAATACTTCTACTATACATACATGAAATGCATGTACATATGGGGAATTAAGAGCTTTTATTTGCACGTATCCAATCTAGAGATGGATCTAGTAGCCCACCAGAGAATGTATATTGGAGATTTGCAGAAGAATGGGAATAATTTTACCTTCACCTGGTGGGACTGTTAAACACTTTTTGGATGAGAATGAGAAACAGTGTGAAACGAGTATTATTGGCACAGAAATGGAAGCAGGAAGAACTACCGACGATAGAGGAATGGCAGATGAAACTGATGGACTACACAGAATTGGATAAGATGACAGGGAGAATTCGAAACCAGCGGGACCAGAAATTCTTGAAAGATTGGAGTAAATATATGAGTTATCTGAAAGACAATTGTAACCAACTGACTATGCTTGTAGGACTACAAGAAGTTTTGTAAGGAGAACTGTATGAAATATTGCAGAAAAGATTTATGAGAATGGATTTTAAATTATGGATTATTAATGTAATAGTTAAGATAACAAATGTAAGATTAAGAGATGAGGTCTGAAAATCATTAGACATGGTTGATGGAAGTCTCAGGCTAAAATAGCCAAAATGTTGTATAAGATGAGATGAGATGTTCTGTTTGGGAAATATATGTAAAAACTAATAAAAATGTATATTTTAAAAAAGAGAGAAACAGTGCTGAAACAATTCTCCCCATTTCTGCACTTTTTAAATTTCCTGATCCAACAATAGACCCTTACCTAGCTGAATAAAGCATAGACCTTAAATGGCTAACCAGTGACCCTCCAGATGTTGTTGAACTCCAACTCCCATCAGCCCCAGCCAGCATGGCCAATGGTTAGGTATTGGGAATTGTAGTCCAACAACACCTGGAGGGAACCATGTTGGCTGAAATTAGAATGATGAAGAAGTTAGAATTTTATCTAAAGCAGACCTTTAGTATTTGTTACTTGGAGGAAAAAATGGCAGAACTCTGAAACCTTCATTTTCAACCCTACTGAAGTTGTTTAGTTTCAGCTCACAATAATACTAATTCCCCTAACAATGACTCTCTTTTAAAACAGTTTCTGTAAAAATGAAAATTGGCCTGCATTCTCCCCCCCCCCTGTTCAAGGCTTTGAACCATATTTGAAGGCATGCTTCACCCAAAACAGTATAGCCTAGAAAAAGATGCGTAATTTATAAAAACTTATTTTCTCATGGTTTATCATAATCAGAAGCATCAGAAAGTCTTAAAATGAAGACACTCACCACTTAACCTTTGAATGAAAAACACAGCTTAAATCCAACCTGAGTGCACTTTTTCATTGCAGAATTTATTCAGTAGTTCTACAATATGGTCTAATTTGTCATCACCTGCACAACTGTCACTCACTTTACCATTTACAGTTTTCTTTCCAAACTAAAGCACCCAGGACCCCCCCCACCCCCCAAAAAAATCCCAAGAAAAACAACTGAACATTACTAATTGTGTGGGGGGTTTTTTTAAATCCCAGTGTTAATGTAGCAGATCACCTCCCAAGTACAGACCAAGCCAAGCCTTAAGATCTTTCAAGGATCTCATGCTAGTCATTCTATGACCAGCAGACTGTCACTTGGTGACAACACAGAAATGAGCTCTCTCAGTGGTAGCACTCACCCTCTGGAATGCCTTTCAACAGGTGGTTCAGGAGGTGGAGATAGTAACCAGTTATAAATGCTTCTTCAAGATTTCCTGGACTCTAATTCTTAAACTATTTTTTTCTTTTTGAGCACTGCACAGTTTTACATATTTTTGTTCTGTGTTTAATTAACTTTTTAAAAATTGTTATATTTTTATATGAAATTCTATTAATTTTTTCCTAATAATGTTTTATATAAAGCATTCAAGAAATTTATTTTCATACTAAGCATTTTATACATTTTATAAATAAATAAATGGGATAGAAATGAGTAAATAAATCCTATGTGGTTTTTTAAAGCAAAAAATGAACAGAAGCAGGTAAGTCCCTTCTTCTGACACACTATGGACGGCTTTATTTTGGGACATTTTATCACCCACCAAGACACATTAGAATTCTGCTTTGGGCTGAAAAGGTTACTGTAAAACTGTCTGTGTCAGTTTCTTAGTTTCGATTTAAAAATTAACCTATTGGGTAAAATGTTTCCAATGTGTTTTTTCTCCTGACATCACTTTCTTTAGGACATTATTACTGCTGCAAGATACATTGGAAGACAGTTGGGGGTGGGGGGAGATTACCTATGTCACGCTCCCTTTTTTTGTTTTCATGGGAGTATTCCTCTGTGGGTGTGTTAAAAGCTCACACAGCATTGTGAAACACTGGAGCGTGTTCTGTGTTAAGAATCTGACTTAGTCCAACTAATTTTAATAGGTCCATTTGTATGCTTCATAGAACATCTCTTTCTGTAAGGGTACAAGTTCAAATGCCTTCTAGGATCAACTTCCTGTAATAATAGACAGAACAATTTGTGCTTCAGATGGAGATAAGGAAAACTTCGAGCTGATGAAATTCAACTGAAAACGTCAGTAGTTTTAAAAAGATTTTTGGATTGATTTATCTTCTCCAAAGACCACACGGCAGTTCCTATAACAGTATTCAATGTAAGTAAACAACAACTGTTTCCTCAAATAAAAGAATTATTATGCAAAAGTTTTAGAAATCTAAAGAAAATTGGCAGTTATATACAAGTTTGATGTACATTAAGAAAACAAAATCTCACAATATTGTGAAAAATTGTTGAGTATAAAAAACAAACATATTTCAAAAGGCCAAATAAATATCCTACCTCAATAGCTCTTTTAATGTATGGAATCTGAGTGCCACTGTCCAGATCTTCATTTATAATAAGCCTTCTTGCCCACTGTCCTGCTCGAACAACACCGCTACCGTGAATTAAAACCATCAGTTTGTCTGGATTTGTCATTGCATCCTCACTCATAAAGATAAAACTCCGAGGTTCACCTTCCATGGCATCTACCTAAAATGAAAACAGTGTGTTTATTAACAGTTTATTGAATTATATAGCTTACATCAATAAATCTATTCAGACTATCCAACAGCTGCAACTAGCAATTAAATGCTTAGTTAGACCTGGAGTCTGGAAAATAAGTTGCCTACTATACTGTCCTCAGTATTCATTACAGGTAGGAAGCCATGTTGGTATGTCGTAGTCGAAAGAAAAAATTAAAAAAAATTCCGTCTGGTAGCACCTTAGAGACCAACTAAGTTTGTTATTGGGATGAGCTTTCGTGTGCATGCACACCTCTTCAGATACACCAGTATTCATTGTTAGCAGATCCATTCACAAAGGTGTTAATGCATACTAGCAGAGCAAACCCTACAGGTGGGATTCACCTAATGAGTTCTATCAGTGGAAGCCATGAATGAAGACTTCTGATGGTACAATGGTGCTTTATCCCCTCTCCTCCCCACATACCCCTAAAGTGGGTTGAGGGGGGCCAGGAGACCCCCAAAACAGCTCACAGTGGGTGTGGGTGTTTCTGTCTGGCAAGCTGAAATGCTTGTACAGATGGAACGTTCATCATAGTACAACACTGATTTCTACCCTAAGTGCTCAAATCGTAATCACTCCCAGTACGTTTTCCTCTTTGTATGTTTTAAAAAATTACGTATGCATCCTAGGCTTCCAGAAAAGGAGTACAGAGTGATATTTTTAATCTCATAACAGCCTGTGAGGTAGGTTAGATGATGACTTGTCCAAGGTCGACAAACAGTGACAAACAGAGCAGTTTGTAGTTGAGCAGGGACTACAAACTAAAAGTCGCTTTGTGCTAACTATACCAAAGAACTAACAATTAAATTCAAAATGCCACAGAAGTCACAAACGCAGTTCCACCAGCAGTACAGAATGTCACAACTGCCTCACATATGATGGGCATCCTATTTGCATAAAGTTGATCAGGTCATACCTGGGTATTACCCTGCCCACTTCTGGCAGTAATCTGTCCACCCCATCACAGATATCCGCTTAAAAAATACAGTCTGAATGGGTAATCACAACAGTGTTTATTACTCTAGTGGACAACCCCTGCTTGGAGATCAGTGATTGCACCCCATTGGTCCTGTTAACCTTATCTGTAGCCCTTGCTAGTTTACCATGAGGTTTTGGCGACTCAACTATACAATTGCTCAAGTGGCTCCACTTGTTTATGTCAGGAAGGTCACAGATGCTGATATGCCATCTTCACTCTCTCATGGAGTTTTGTAGGATTATATCTTTTATTCCCTCCTGTGAAACCTCTAGGCAAGATTACATGTAATAAGCCCTTTTTAAAAAAATAAATCTTGCCCAGATCCTACCATTTGAAGACTGGATATGTGTGAGCCAACTGAAACTCTGGTCTTGTAACTTAGGGTTGATCAGAACATACATTAGCACACTTGGGTTATAGCATCTGGCTGGCTACCCAGTTGCACCCTTATCTGGGCAGGGATAGCTTAACTTCTGTCAACTATGCTCTGATAACCTCTGCTGGAAACTTCAGTTGGTGCGGAATTCAGCATCCAGGTTGCCTACCAGGGCAAGATGGTTTGAGCATATAATGCCAATCCTGGCCTGACTGCACTGGCTGCCAATTAGTCTCTGGGCCCAATTGAAACTGCTGATATTGACCAATAAAGCCTTAAATGGCTCAGGCCCACAATAGCTCAAGGACCGCCTTTCCTCATATGAACCAACTCAGACCTGTGATCATCAACTGAGTGGTGTAGTGGTTAAGAGCGATAGACTCATAATCTGGGGAACCAGGTTCGTGTCTCCGCTCCTCCACATGCAGCTGCTGGGTGACCTTGGGCTAGTCACACTTCTCTGAAGTCTCTCAGCCCCACTCACCTCACAGAGTGTTTGTTGTGGGGAGGAAGGGAAAGGAGACTGTTAGCTGCTTTGAGACTCCTTTGGGTAGTGATAAAGCAGGATATCAAATCCAAACTCTTGTGCCTCCTCCATGAGATAGCAGGAGGGCAGCAACGTGAGAATGGACCTTTTCTGTGGTGGCTCCTCACTTGTGGAATGTTAGCTTCAGCGAGGCCCGCCAGGTGCATTCGTTCCAAATATTTAGGTGCCAGGCAAAGACATGCCTCTTCTCTCTAGGCCTCTGGCTAATTAAACAATGTACAGTCTTTTAAACTGTGTGTAGTGGGGTTATTGTTATTGTTTGCTACTATGATCTGTGTTTTTGTTTGTTTGCATCTCCCTCTCAAAAACATCCTGTGATGCACATAATGAGCGAGTGACTTGCCCACAGGCACCAATGAACTTCACAAGTAAGTGTGGATTTTTACTCCTGCTCTCCTGACTCTGCCCACCATATCACACTCTCTCAGTATGAGGTATAAGCCCATTAAACAACCATATATCTGCTACATAATACACCATAATTCATCACTTCCAGATGTACGTGTGTGTGTGTGTGTGTAGTCACTGGAGCCTTAGTTCTTGCACTGCTAAGAACATCTCATTAATGCTAATAGGCATTAAAGCACCAGCACCTCCAAAACAGCTGAAGCAATCAATGCAAAATGATGGCATTTGGCAAAATGCTCATACTTAAAGCATTGTTAAGAATGGATTACAGTACTGAATAGGTTATTTCCTTTAAGCAGTAAAAATAATAATAATGCACCACTGTTGTCCAAATAAGTGTTCAGAAGTACACAAGTATCTAGTTTCCAGCATGGGGACTTGTTAGATCCCCACTTATTATCTGGGCCAGTCTGGCCAAATTAGAAATTCCAGTTTCAATTATGTATACTACATTCTACGTGGAATTGCCCTTCAAGACAGTCCAGAAACTTCAGCTGTCCAGAATGAAGTCGGCAGAATTCTGTCAGGGGGTAGATCACAGCACATTACTCTGATCATTTACCAACATGGGTAACTGGCAATTTATTTTCAGGCTCAGCTCAATAGGTTGGCTTGGGGCTGGGATGTCTTCAGATCTCCTTCTCCAATAAGAATCTGCCTGGGAACTCCATTTCACTACAGAGGTTTTCGGTGTTCCTTTTTCAAGCTACTTCAAGAGTGTATGAGATCGCTCTGGGAGGCAAGGGGTGGCGGTGGTGGTTTCCCAACTGTAGTGCTCAGATTATGGAAAGGTTTGCCTAGGAAGATTTGCTTGGTGCCTGGCACTGCCTGACTTTTTGACAGACACCTTTATTTGAGTGAGCCTTCTTCTGACTTGCCTTCATTGATGTTTTAACTTTTTAATGTTTCATTGCTTGTTTATATTTATCATTTCATAGTTTCTATCTGTCCTTGTTTCACTGTGAAGTGCACTGAATATAATGTGCTGTAGAGAGGCAATTTAGAAATTATTTAAATAAATCAATAAGCTATGAGCAGGGTATAATGGGAAGGCAGCAGCATTTTCAATACAGAGAATACAGAGGATGAAGAATCCTGATCCTGAGGCAGAAGTTCCCACTGGGCCAAGATAAGGACTGTTTGAGCAGACTGGTGACAGTTCACAGAAGAAATCTGAGCAAATGCTGTTCTTCTGATGGTGATCAAAAACATCAGGGTCCCAGTGCCAGCAGTTGTAAAACAAAGAAGAAAAAGGGGCTCATGCTGCTATGAAGTAAAGTAATGGCCTTTCCATACCTCTTAACACTAGTTCTGAAGAGTTTCCCTACAAACAGCCTGCAGGACTGGTTACCTATGTGTGAGACTATATATACAGCATCAATTCATAACTGGGTACATAGCTCCAACTTGGAAAGGTCTTCCAAGTACACCTAAGGGCATGGGCAGAATGAAGCCCCTAAGAACTTGCTTATATTATGTGTTGCCATTCTCCCATTACAGTGGTACCTCGGGTTACATACGCTTCAGGTTACATGCGCTTCAGGTTACAGACTCCACTAACTCAGAAATAGTGCTTCAGGTTAAGAACTTTGCTTCAGGATGAGAACAGAAATCGTGCTCCGGCGGCACAGCAGCAGCAGGAGACCCCATTAGCTAAAGTGGTGCTTAAGGTTAAGAACAGTTTCAGGTTAAGTACGGACCTCCAGAACGAATTAAGTACTTAACCTGAGGTACCACTGTATTTCCAATATACAGTACTACAGCTTTAGGTAGACCATGGTGTATGTAACAATCAGCTTTATCTGCAATATTTCCCTGGGCTTTTATAATACATCTGTGAAGTTTTTCCCCTTTGGTCACTTCTCCTGGGGATTGTTCTCAGAACATCAGCCAGTGTTTTTCATTGTAGATGCACGGGGAATTTAGTTCTGGTTACTTCTCACAGCAGGCTACTGAATGCTTGTGTGTAAAAAATCCAGACTATGATCTGTCAAGGCAATTGATGAGAGAAAGATACTACAAAGTCAGATAAATATAATGTAAGACTAAACTTTCAGCAAATGTAGCTCAACTGATTTAGAAACCATGTCTACCATTGATCTGAGACACTAAATTATCTTGTGTTTCAGTTCATACGATCCAAATTATTTGCAAAAAAATAAGGTAAATTAGAGTGTGAATTCCCTGAACTGCAAGTGTTAATATTACTCTTTATTCCATCTTCAATTCAAAGTGTGTTTGGTTGTTAGAAACAAACACTTATTTCTCATCCAAGAGTAGCACTCAGACCAATCTCTTATTCATACTTATAAAGGTAAAGGGCCCCTGACAGTTAAGTCCAGTCGCGGACGACTCTGGGGTTGTGGTGCTCATCTCGCTTTACTGGCCGAGGGAGCCGGCGTACAGCTTCCAGGTCATGTGGCTAGCATGACTAAGCCGCTTCTGGCAAACCAGAGCAGTGCACGGAAACGCCGTTTACCTTCCCGCTGGAGTGGTACCTATTTATCTACTTGCACTGCGTGCTTTCGAACTGCTAGGTTGGCAGGAGCTGGGACTGAGCAACGGGAGCTCACCCTGTTGCGGGGATTCGAACCGCTGGGCTTCTGATTGGCAAGCCCTAGGCTCTGTGGTTTAACCCCATGCGCCACCCGCGTCCCCATTCATATGTATATTGCAGCTGATTTAGGTTTTGGTAATGGAAGATTTGGTTAGTTTGTTTAGAAATGCCATTTGTTTGTCACTTTGTTTGTTTAATTTCATTTATATTTCAGCCCTTTCTCCAAGGAGCTCAAGGCAGAGTACATAGTTCTTGCCCTATTATGAGCAAATTTTACTCTCTTTTTCTCAATAACTACTGCTACAGAACCATTTCCAATATTCTTGGGAGCATGGGCAAGAGGAAAACAAAGCTATGCATTATAAAATACTCAGTTTACATATCTAAATATGGACTAGCCATCATATGTTTACCATTCACATTTGGAATCAACCTTTACCAGCTTAATCTTAATTGCATTTGGAAACATTTCTTCAAGCCGATTTGTCTTCAAACTGCTGTAATTCATTAAATGAAGCTTTCACTAAAGGATACACATAAAAAGGTCACACCAGTGTCCAATCACACTTTATTGACAAGTCAACCTAGTATACCATTTATTTCTCATCACACTGAAAATGTACAAAGCAATTTGTATCTTGACAATTCACTGTTTATATCTGCTTCCACTTTTCCAAAAGATTACATAATTACATTTATGGTCTAGGATTTTTTTTTATTATATCAATCTATGTTAGTACTGCTCTTCATATATAAAGCTTCCAATATTACTTTTTTGACCCAGGAGTATTAATTCATCTTAATGCATACTGACTTTTTATTGGAGAGGACTACTTTCCTACTTTGCACTCTTATATTTACTAATTGGACATTCCTTATTACATACTTCCAAAGAAGCCTCCAGTAAAAACACAGAATAAACACAAGATCCTTGAACAATAAAATAGCATAAAACAACTCAGCTGCAGCCAATATAGTAATTTTTAAATGACCTCACTAATCCTTAATGATTTGGTGCAATGAAAACATCTCTATGCATAAAAAAATGCAACAGGGCCAGCCCTAAAACCTCTCTTTTAAAATAAGTTCCATAATGTTGGTATCACTGCAAAGGCCTTGTGCTTTGTCCCTACTGATCTTACAAGTGCAAAAAAGCATGGTTTAGAACAAAGCATTCCCTGAAGATCCTCAGGCACTGAGAGGGCTATACTGTAGAGCAGGGATGTCCAAATCAAAGAGACTGCGATCTACTCACACGATTAAAATCTGGCAGTGACCTACCCCCTTTTTAAGGGAGATATGCCCTGTTTTTTTTGGGGGGGGGGTTCAGTTCAATGTTGTTGAGCATCTTTTGGGGAGGAAATATTTGTTAATTTAGGAGCTTAGGTCAAATAAATAAAATAAGGCGTTCATCAAGAGATCGCTAATGAGACCGTCAGCCTCGCTGCAAAAACTCAGACTTTAGCTCTAGTGATCAAGAGGATGGGGCAAGGGGGTGGGGCTGGATGGAGGAGCCAGCGATCTACCATGATCTACCAAAACCTCTCAGGGATCGACCTGTTGGACACCCCTGCTGTAGAGAAAACACTCAATGAATGCAGCCCCACATAAAGTGCCCACAATAGTGGGCAGACTAATGTTCTTTGCAAAGTCAAAACTACTCTGCTCAGATTACTCTTGATTGCAAGAGTATAATCAAGTAAGTATAATCCCATCTAGATTATACTAGTGGTGAAGGACTTCTGGACAGCATACTCATGATTATACAATTGTATCCTCACAACAATCCTGCAAGGTAGGTTTAACTGACACTATAATTGCCTCATGGTTACCCAAGAAGTTTCAAAACCAATTCAAACCTGAGTTAATTTTTTTATATTAAAAAACACACCAAAAAGCCCATCTAGATTTCTTCAGTATAGGCCCATCTACATCACACAAGTTAATAACAAAATAGAATGTGTCTGAACTGTTCCTAATGCACACGCATGATATTTACAACTCACAGCATAGGAAAAACTATGAAATAAAATAAATTATAATTCCTCAGACTGTATTCTTGCTATTTCCCAAGATGCTGAAAAAACAGGGTATATTTAACTTACCGGTATGTATACTTTTTTCAAATGGCATTCTTCTTCCAGTAGTTCATATACATATTTGGTGATGATCTGCAAGAAAACAGTCATATAATGCTCATATAAGTTGCTCTTTCAAAAATTATAAATTTAAAAAGACAGAAAGCTTGCTTCCCTATGCAAAATATATTTTTTTTGTCTAGACATAGCTTTCTGGGATTTCACATTGTGTTGTTGTGTAAATTATTAGCCTGGAAATTAATGATAAAGACCATTTCATATATAATACATACCCAGAGATACAAGAACTACTTTCAAATCAGCTTCAATAAGCAACTCTCCTAAAACAATCTCCCTTTGTCACTGCACATCCAGTTCATGAGCCACACTGACAGCAGATCTTTATTCACCCTTTATTCACTGAGCAGAGAAGGAACAGGTCAAAGGTGGCCTAAACAGAAAAAGAGATCTACCCTGCCTTCTCTTGGTGGAAGGGGGAGAATGACTGACTTTGTATTTGCTGAGGGGAGCATAAGATGAAGTTAAGCAAGTTCTTTTGAAGATTTGTTAAGAAGTTTGCTTCGGTCACAAATATCCAAATTTACAGAACAGATATGATACTTCATATTATAAGCTAATACTACATTTTTCAAAAAACAACAAACTGAAAAAGTATAAGATGAATATTGTAGATGACTAACTCCTGAATTAGTTTGAGCACTACCTTGAGAGACTGTAAGCAAATGCAGAAGATAAAAATGTTCCAATATGCATATGACTAGATTTTGTTCATAGAAACAGAAGCTAGCAAATGAAGTTCAAGAAATCCACTTTGGCTACCTTTCTAAGCACATTTTATTAGAATTGTTCCATTAAAATTACTGAGAATCACACCTAAGAAGCCCAGATTGAGCTTTTATATGCAAGATGTACAGAACAAAACTGAATTCCCAGATAATATCTATAATATACTCAATATAGGATTCCAAATGCCTTAAATGGAGATCTCTTAAATCTAGGTTACTAAATCTAGTTATTACATAGATAAGGTCCTTAATCTATGTAGGAAAATACAGTGAACGCATTATGGACCAGTGAAAACCGTAAGAATTTCTTTTTAAAAAACCCCACTTACTTTAAATTTGCAAAGGGAACCTAAACAAATCAAGTTCCTAAGTAATTACAATTGAAAATTAAATCAAGGGCATCAAATCCAAACACAGTACACTTCTCAGGTGTTATACCAAAACAGCTGAACTTTTAAAGCACTATCATTTGAAAAAGAAAAGAAAAAGATTAGATTTTCCTAGCACCAGCTCACAAGCCCCAATTATTATTATTATTTTCATTTATGAATCACATTCTATGAGTAATTTACAATATCCTGAAGCAATTTGCAATACAGCTGTCCCAATGGGGGTGGCCAAGTAAACTAGTGGGCTAAGTTCCAGATCAAGGTGACAAATTGCTACCCTACAGACATTTCTACACACATTTCTTTGAAGAAAAAAATGCATGTTCAGGATTACAGCCCAAGAATATATAACAAGCCATTGTTACCTTTTGCAAATAATTGATGCAAATTAGATTGCAAAAGCTTCACAGTATTAGTAGACAGATCAGTCTTTCAGTCTCTACAGCAAATCTGAACAAGAATTTGACTGTGAGCAGTGAGTTGATTTAAGACATGTTTATCCCAAAGCAGCATGTTAGAAACATGCAACCGATGTAATTTTACCCCTAGGGCCTAACTGTTTATGGTTCACTGAAATCATCTTTCACTTTCTGGGAACGGCAAAGCAGTTATATTTCTACAGTTTCATAAGTTGAGAGTGAAGAGTCACTGAAGCGAACACAACAATAATAAAGTGCTCAAAATAATGTTTGTGGAAACTGCACACAAAATGTTATCTACTTTGTGGTGGAAGGAAAAAAACAGTTCTGGTTGCCTCATCTCAAATGGGATATTGTGAAGTTAGAAAAGGTTTAGAAAAGACTACCCAAATAATAAAAGGGATGGAGCAACTCCTCTCTGATGAAAGGCTGCAGCATTTGGGACTTTTTAGTTTAGAGAAAAGGTGAGTAAGAGGTGACATGACAGAAACTTATAACATTATGCATGGCATGGAAAAAGTGGATAGTGAAAAGTTTTTCTCCCTCTTAAAACACTAGAATTTGTGAACCTATAATGAAGCTGAATTTTGAAAGATTTAGGAGAGATAAAATAATAAAACTACAACAGCACATAGTTAAACTACAGAACTAGTTTCTGCAGGAAGCAGTGGTGTCCACCAACTTGGAAGATTTTTAAAAAGGGTTAGACACATTCACAGAGGCTATCAATGGCTACTAGCCATGATAGCTATAGCCTACATCTATTGTCAGATGTGGTATACCTCTAAATGCTAATTGCTTGGAATTATAGGTGAACAGAGGACTATTGCACTCATATCCTGCTTGCAGGTTCCCCATAGGCATCAGGTTTGCCACTGTCAGAACATGATGCTGTACTAGAGGGGCCACTGGCCTGAAGTTCTTAAGTTGCCCAGTAGGTGCCCTATTCATAGCATCTTTCAACTGCTGTCAACCTAAAAAGAGGAAACACCCAAATATGGGATTTCCTCTTCACCAGAACTAGCCTAGGAGCTATGCCTGGAGAAGTCACTTCAATGCTGCTAATGCAACAAAAACAATGCAGGGGGCAGCAGTTACAAGCTACCGGTCTCTGCAGCCACAGCAGGTGATGTGATTCTCCAGTGGTTTGACTTCACCCCTGGAGGTGCACTCCACTGTCTCCCAAGACAGAAGGATGCAAACTCTAACTCTATCCTAAAGGGTCAAAACAAGTTAAAAGAACAACTTGACCAACACAGAATAAACCATTCATCACATTCACTGAGGTTTATCCACCCTCTCCTGGCATAAGCCTGACACCCAAAGGTCAGCTAAAACGCATAGTGTTGAATCCAAAGTAGCATTACGTCACTGTCCTGTCAGTGGAAGGATTTCCTCTAATACAATGGGAATTCTGCCCTCTTCCTTTCTCACACACCCTGAACATCTTAGAGGGGTTCCAGCAATGCTTTGGAGCAGATGTGGGGAGTGTGTGGTGCACCTATAGGGAAAGGAGGGGGGGGAGTCCTGTTGCACAAGCAGAAATCCTTGCACTAACAGGATACATTAGCTGAATACTGTTGAAAGGTACCCTGCACAATTAGGCAGCAGCCACCTCTGCTATCCAAGCCTGATATATAGATGTTATCATTTAGAGAACTTTCTATGGATCCAAGAGATTTTAATTAGGCATGTGACCTGTACAGTATGTTAGAAGTAAACTGCTTAGAGCCCCTAATGTGGTCATTAACCCAGTTAGATTTAAAGCTTCAGCATGATATAGACTATAATAATAAAATACTTAAGTATTTTCTCCTTTGGGAAGAGGAATGGGACCTAAACTGAATGTAGCAGCAGTACAGGTATAAACACAAATATGCTTTTTCAATGCTTAAAAACAAAACAAATGAATTTATGGCATACAACTGTCAACTCGTTATTTTTTCTGCTTTTTTCTGCTTTAATGTGTCAGTGTATGGTACTTGGCAAAAATGCAGAATGAATATCATTAGACTGTCCTGCGCTGGTCTCAAGTGGTAAAGCTGACCTAAGGCTTGATACTGCTGTTGCTGTATGCTTGGGTTGAATGAGCTTTATTTTGACTCTGAAATGACAAACCTGCCAGTAAGTAACAAGAAGAGATGCTAAAGAAGCTTTTGACATACAACACTTGGACTCAGTCTTACTATAAAAATCTATCCTAAAATATCTTAAAATATGGTTTAACATAGGCTTTTCTTGACTAATCATAGATAATGTTATCTATTGTTTGTCCAGATTCAAACAACATAGCATTCTGCAGTTAATCTAAAATGGAAGCAAAAGTTTTGAAACTCTTATTTGTGGCAACACCAAAGGCGGAGGACAGACCCTACAAGCGTCCCTATTTTCCAGGGCCAGTCTTGGATTTACAGAAGCCATCCCAGTTTCTGATTTGATCCCACTTTTCCTTAGGACATCCCTATCTTCATCGGAGAAGTGTTGGTGGGTATGGGAGGGGGAGCACATGAAGGCAAGGCTCACTGCAGCTCTTCTAACACAAAACTATGGGTTTGTATTACATTCAAACCTTTCCTGTGTACTATTATTGAGATTGTCATACATTCCCTCATGCCATTTTAATCTCACTGGCCGCTGTTTTGTTGAGTCAGTGAAATATACAGAATGGTGATGCTAGGATATCCTTGGCCTAGAGTGGGGAGAAAAGCAGAAATGGGGATCCTTCTTTTCAGTGACAGTCTCTTGTTTTTCATAATGTGTAGTTCTACCCACAACCATCTCACTCAAGGTGATCAAAAATGCTCTCATCTTACAAGCAGTATTATCAATATATTTTATGCAAACGTATTCCACAATATCATCTTAATTGGATCCACTATATTTTATTTCTGTCAGGCCTCCTTATATAGTAACTATTTTGAAAAAATAAACGTTAAACAGTACAAGAACCCTAGCAGAGCTTTGAGTAGCCAAACTCAAGCACACTCTCTCCTTCCAACCACTCCGTCACCCCCATTCCACAGCTAGCTCAGTACCATCTGCAGCCAGATGCCTCTGCTCCCAGGCAATCCTAGAGCTATGTAAGCTTCAGCTGCCGCTACAGCAATAGTGCCTTATTTAAATTGTTAATTTTTTAGCAAGCTACTAAATTATGCTGAATAATACATAACAGAGTTTGAAACCTGTAGTTTTGAAAATCTTATAGCTCACTCACATGCTAACAAATTTAATGAGATAAACAAGAGGCACATCCATACTCCAAAGCTAAGTTTTGTACCTCATCTCAGAGACCCATTGTAAACAATACACTTGAGTCTAGCCTCCCAGAGGCACAACAATATTTTAAAAAGCAAGGTATTATGCCTCTTGAATGTAAATGTTACTGTCCATTCTTCTGAAAAATATACCTCCATCTGTGCTTTCTTGGCATGTTTCCCTGGAAGCAGGAGAGAAATACTTGGCACTGATTAATGTCATTATGCCATTTTAAGTTATATATATGCTTCTGCTTGTGGACTAATTTTCATTCTCCCCACCTTGCTTCCCCTCTCTTTTAAGATAGTTACAATTTAAACTATTTAATGTTTCTTGGCATCTCAGTTATTAGTCTTTACTGGATACTAAAATGAAATCACAGGGCATCCTATTATAGTCACGATCTTAAGTCCCAAACATGCCACTGAAGAGGGAACACGTGTCTGCCAATGCCTTTCTAGTGCACACAAGAGGACCCAAACTGACCGAAACAAAAATTGGACAACTGGAGACTTTTCTTTCTGCTCTATGTGCTCCAAGCAGGTCCTCCTTGCTCTCTGGCCTGTGCATAAGGTTTAAATGTGCGCCCTATCTCCTCTGATTGGACATCCTCCTTTCACTTCGCAATAGCAATACAGACAAGGGGAGGCATGGGGGCCAGCATGGCACAGATCTTCATGATTCCTAAAAGGCATGTCCTCCAAACCATCATCAAATTAAAGCTGACATTGCTTTCTGTGAATTGCACTAGTATAAAAACCATTTTCAGTGTTTCCCAGAATGCCACAACAGAAAAACATGGATCCAGCGCACAGATCCTCATGACTGTTAAAAGGAATTCCCTGAAAACAACCATCAAATAACTGATCACTGTGTCCATACAGATAAAGATGCATAAGACTGTGTGCCTGAGTTCCATGTTTTTATGCCATAATGGGTCCAGCAAGCACCAGATTGATGTACGTATATAGATTACTGTATTTTTCTGTATATAAGGCTCGATGATTTTTCCCAAAAATTAGGTTTAAAATTGGGGCTCGTCTTATACACGGGTAGTGCTGAGGGGTGTTTCCTTAATTTGAAGTTCCCCAAAACAGGGGGCATCTTATACATGGAAAAATGCCGTATGTTGTAAAATTCACCAATGTCAGCTTTAATTTATTATTGGTTTGGGGAAGGTTCACTACACAGTCATTGGTTTGATGATTTACTCCAAAGAAGAAGAGGAGGAGGAGGAGGAGGAGGAGTTTGGATTTGATATCCCACTTTATCACTACCCTAAGGTGTCTCAAAGCGGCTAACATTCTCCTTTCCCTTCTTCCCCCACAACAAACACTCTGTGAGGTGAGTGAGGCTGAGAGACTTCAGAGAAGTGTGACTAGCCCAAGGTCACCCAGCAGCTGCATGTGGAGGGGCGGGGACATGAACCCGGTTCACCAGAGTCTACCACTCTTAACCACTACACCACACTGGCTCTTACATCACACAGGCTCTCCATGTATTCTACTATGGTGGGGCTGACAAGTGCTAGATCTGTGATTTAATGGCGGGCTGAGGAAAATGGCATGCAAAAATCAGGCAAATACAAAAGGATTCATTTTTAATCCAACTTTTAAATTCTTCCTGTTCCATTCTCCATGGCAGCCATTTTGTGATTGGCACCTACAGCACAATCAAAATTCTGCATGTGCCCACAGACCCAAATGGGTCCCCCCCACCATTCTAGATATATCACTGACTCAGTAAGAGTCAATTTTCTTTCACTCATATATACCTCCAAATCATTATCAAGACTGTAATGCCTGCATAATTTTTTTGTTTAAAATTTGAGCCTTGTCAAATATTTACAGCCTGTGTGTGTGATTTCAGTCAAATGATCTCTTAGGGGTGGCCCAATTCTCTGTTAACCAACTTGCCGAAGCCAATATATGAGCAGTGTGGGTGGCCAATGTGACCATCCCACACTCACTCTCATGCATACAGATAGACCTTTCTTCCCAGGCTGATGGTGTGATAGGAAGGAAAATCTGCTCTTCAGAGTTTGATTTCTTCCCATTACAGCATGGAGCTGGGAGAAGAGGAAGATGGAAGTAGAGAGGAAGATACTATGGCCTTCAGCTGACCTTTTAAAGCCATCTCATCTAGCTCTTGCATACCACCAGAGCTAAGAGCTCAGAGTGTTCAAGAAACAGGAAGAACTAGTTCCTATTTCCAGAGTGCTCCTACCTGCTAGCAATGGCAATATGCAAAAGGAAAAGATGCCTTGTTCAGCACCATTGCCAGCAATTTTGCTGGTGGCTGAAGAACTACCTGAAACAGCTTAGTGGGCCATGGGTTCTCCATTCCTACAATACATGACAGAAGAAAATAGTGGATTTCAACACACCTAGTCTTTAAGCAAGGGGAATCCCGCCCCCAACACACACACATCTAAGAAGACAACTGGGAACAACCAGAAATATCTTACATCTAGTTACAATCTGCTGGAAATCAAGGTTATATGGAAGAGACTTGTACAGTATTGCAGTCTATTATCAAATGCTTTCCATTTAAACATTGATATGTGGAAGCTGCTCTATTCATCAAATTATTGTGTGAAGAAGCTCACTATGTGTTGACCATTTTCCCCATGCCACCAAGCACCTTTCACAATTTCTGATAGGTTAGTAAAGATTGCTTCTTTACACACATGGGAAATGGCTTCCGTGCATTTGTAATGTCACCATAATGTCTTAAATATGCCATAAAGAACATTAACTTTTTCTGTTCTTCAGGCACTTTAAATAGCAAGTAGGCTGCTATTACTGTTTAATTAAGGGCTCCCAAGTTAGATGCACAATGCTTTGTTTTGTAAAAAGATCCAGATTCCACGATCAGAAAGTGAATGATGTAAAATACATCTGTTGAATGGTCCTAGGCAACGCAAGAATTTCCCAAAACTTTGTTTCATTATCGGCTTGCAATTTAAATGTACATGCATAAATACATTTGATTGTAATCCTGGCTGCTAATAATCCAAGCTTCTGATATAACCACTTCTAAATGCACTATTTTCAGAGATTCTACAATACTGCAGAATGTTAACATATTGAAGATTGTAAGCCCAACTGAGCAGCAGTATAGGGCTGCCATACATCCGGAATTTCCAGGAAATAGCTGGAAATTCAACGTCCAGGCAGAAATCGCTGAAACGCATTTTTCATTAAAAATAGCTCAAAAACATTTTTGTCCAGACTTTCCTTTTTGAAATATGGCAACCCTAAATAATATTTTAAAACTATTAAAACAACAGTGTTCTAACCCCTTGCCTAACATATTCAAACATTTCATGTATGCTTTTTAACAAACACAGCACACTAAATAAAGGCCTCTGCTAGTCCTCTCAAATTTTGGATGGAAGCGCAAAAGCAAATGTAAGCAGAGAATACACAGACACATAAAGGTTAAGAAGTTTCAAACATCATTCATGAGACATTAGATCAAACCAAGGAAAAACAAAACAAAACAAATCAGAAACTTGGCAACATCTTGCTATCCTGGATCTTGAACTATAGGTTTTCTTGCTACACGTTTTGTATAGCAGGAAGTCTGATACATTTTTAAAAATAAAATAACAAAAAAGATAAAATGAAAGTTAGTTTTTTTGAAAATCCTAAGATAATACTACCTGTATAACATGTTGCTCAAAATAGAGCAAATGCTCTGTTATAAAAATCTGAGGTTAATTATGTATGTCAGTGTAAAACTACACAAAGCAAGCAGCATGCTATCCAAGATGAATTAAATTTTGAACAGAAAAATATTATGAAATTATGAAAATATTATATTATGAAATTATGAAAATATTATCAGTTCACAAGAAAACTTAGTATTCAATGATTATGGTATGTGTTTTCTGCTCATTTGTTTGGAATTCTACACAAATAAGACTTAGGAATAGCTGCAAGGTATCATACTGAAATGGACAACTCCACCTTATACATACTTGTCGGTATCTTGGTGCAAGCAGAGGGCAAGTGTTTCTACAGGACAATCAATAAAGGACAGGACACCTTTTCTTGCTTATCAGATATACTCAGCTTGGTAACTGCCCATACCACATTGTATGGTTGCTACATATTTAGAGCAGGACAGCTATGTTCCCAATGGGTCAGTTTACCTCTGCTTACAAGGCCATTTATTTCCATCATTTCCTTCAATTTAAAACGCAGTGGAACCTCAGTTCCCGAACACCTCCGTTGTGGTACGTTTCGGTTTTCGAACGCCAAAAACCTGGAAATAAATGCTTCCATTTTCAAACGTTTTTCAGAACCTGAACATGCGACACAGTTTCTACTGAGTCCAAGAAGTTCTTGCAACCAAGGGGAAGCTGCGGCTTGGTTTTCGAATGTTTCAGAAGCTGAACAGGCTTCCGGAACAAATTTCATTTGAGAACCAAGGTACCACTGTACTGAACTTTCCCCTCTCACTCATTTAACGAAGTACAATGTTAATATGCTACACAACAAATATAAACACAAACATATACACAGCTGTATATTGCTTGTATATAATATATACCTCTCCAAGAGCTTCATAGCGCTTTTGGTTCCATCTGTGCAAATCTTCACGGTAGTTAAAAACAAATGGCTCTCCCGTTTTTATATGTCTTAACTGTCCCTCTACAAAAGAAACAATATTAGATTCAGAACATGAGCTTTTTTTTTTTGCATGCATAATTTTTATTAGTTTACACCGAAACAAACAGAAATAAGAAATTCAACATCTTATTTTCACAGATTTTTAGCTTTTTGACTTCCTTCAGCCTCTCCACAAATCATCCATAACCTTCTTTTATAAAATTACGCATTTCCTGTTTTATATTGACATTGTTTACCTCATTTCTTCCATTTCTCTTTAGACAATACTCCTATCTTTTCACAGAGCTCCTTTCAACCCCACTAGCGTTATTTGTCCTTCACTTATATTTTCCAGATAATCCGCAAATTTCCCCCAGTCATCAAGGAACCTTTGGTTTTTTAAATATCTGATTTTCCCCGTCATTTTATCCAACTCTGCGTAGTGTAACAGTTTGAATCTCCATTCCTCAATTGTCGGTATTTCCTGTTGTTTCCAATTTTGAGCTAGCAGGACTCTTGCTGCAGTTGTTGCATATTGGAACAATTTACAGTCTTTATTCTTTATCTCCCTTCCTACTAATCCTAACAGGAAAGCCTCAGGTTTTTTTTCAAAAGTGTATCTTAAAATTCTCTTCATTTCATTATATACACTTTCCCAAAAACCTTTTACATGAGCTTTATAAGTGGAGAGAATAGTTCACTGTGGAAAAATTAAACTGTTCACTGTGCAGAAGTATTCATGGGTTGAATGCTGAAAACCATGAGCAAAAAGACTTCCCCATCTCCTCCTCTTCTAGAAAAGCCACTCCTGATAGCTGAAGGCCCTTTCAGAAGGACCTGGGATGGGACATGAGTGAGTGCTGGGCAAAGGGTAATCAGGAAAATCTGACAAAACCACCTTGCAGAATACAGGTCGAGAAGCTGAGGAAGGTACAGGAAATTCCCTACAGTGAGCATCTTTCCAATTCTCAGAATCTAATTCTATGAGAACATTCAAAGAAAATGGGCAATACTATAATAAGCACACATTTCTAGATCATATTCACAGTAGGTATAGGAAGACCCAGAGAAAATGAAATGCTTTATAAAAAAAATCCAGCATTTATTTTTCAGTGCTCCTACATATTTGGCCGAAGCTGAAATTCAAATATAAGATTTGATAATTAAGGAAGCCATCCTAATCCAAATCTGAATAGCATGTACCATGCTAATATTGAACACTGTGGATCTCAGACTATAGGGCAATGTTCACAATGCTATTGTATCAATTAGCAATGTGTATCACTTATACTAATGTTTTCCTACATCTTTGTATCTTGAAAAAATGTGTAAAGCAGCTACAGAAAAAAAATAACTTAACTGACACACTGCATTTAAATGGGAAAACAAGTACAGGTGAAATCTAAGAAGTCTCAAAATATGGGAATACTATAATTACATTAACTTTGTGCAAACCATAACTATTTTCATGCATTACTGTTCTCTTCAGATGCTACCTAATTACTGATAATATCAAAGTAGGTTAATACATGACAAGATAAGTTCAAAGATCAAAGGAAATGCAAAAATAGTAGAGAGCAGAAATGCTAGAAACTGCCAAATGTTTTCCCTGAAAAACATTTTAGTCACAATGAAACTTGAAAGAAAAAAATATTATTAAAAGAGTATCTAAGACTTATTACTCCAAATCCTGAAATATCTGAATGTAAAAGCAGGGTTTAAATTACTAGAAATTATCTTAATGGGAAAGATAAAGGTTAATTATTTTTTTCTTTGCCCCAGCAAAGACAGTTTTGTACATGAAAGTCTTTTTTATTATTTGCTTGGAAAAGTCTTGAAGCCTCAAAATAAGTGAGAACTTTGTATTATCTGCAGTATCTCTGCCTGTGAATATACTAATTACTAGTGTGAATAGAGAGAAATCAAAGTAGTTTTCTTTCTCAGCACTGTCATTACCTCAGTTTCAGTGTACTTTTCCCAATTACTAACCTCCAGGGGGAATGATCCTCCCCAACTTCATATCCAATATCTCAGGTCACATTACGCCTTTCTTCATGGCATATCATACTCTATGCTTCGTCCAAGGCTTCTAATTTTTTTAATTCTACACTCAGTTTCTATGCTCATTTTTAAGGCTGGTTATTGGTGAAGTTCCTCTCTCCCTAAGGAAATCACAGCATATTGTCTAGTAAGAATTGTAGTGTATTTTCAAGTTCTCTTAAGCGTCACTGAAACATCACTTACTAAAATTTCATTATTGCTTTGCCAATCAGAATAAGACACACCCCTTTCCTTCAAATACAGAAACATAATCAATAGTCAAAATGCATTAGTGCACACATGAAAAATTCCAGCCAAACATGCCAATTTGACGGAAGTGGGAACAGGGATGTGTTCACTTGTCCTTAACAATTCTACTCAAAGTCTATATCATAGATTCATATTCAGATTTCAAGTCATCTTAGCAATCAGACCTACACTATTAAATGTGCACTCTAGAAAGGAAACAGTAGAGATTGTACTGCTCTAAAAATAAGAAGCTGAAAAGTAAAAGTTGAACCACTCCTTTCAAATAGCATCACTTTCATGACACTTTTGGTTTCTAAGTACCTTCCTATGAAAGTCATCAGGGTATTAAAAAGCTAAGTGTTGCATAAATGACTACATTTAAAGAAAAGCTTTTCCCCATAAAATTGGAAGGTATGAGACAATATTAAGAAGCTCAAGGTTTTGGGTTGTTTTCTTATTCAGAATATAGGAACTACTTCATGTCAAGAGTAATACACATCTTTCAGTATGCTGTCTCTTACAAGCCACATGTTTTAGAGCCAAAAAAACCCCATGTTATGGTTGTAGACAGCCTTTATTTCTATGACTTATCAGGACACTCAACTCAGTGATAGCCAGCTGGATAGCAATGGTTATGACAGATTTCTATTTCACATGCAGCATTAAGATTTCTAGGGAGAAAGCTACAGCTCTCTTGTCAGATTTCTGCTTTGCAATATCCCCCAAGGATATCAAGACATGTGCTTTGTACAAGGCTGCTTATGGAAGGTGTAGAAGCTTCAGCTGGTATGCCCAGAAAGAATTGGATTTGTGGGTGTACATCAATAGTCCATTTTTACACTTCCTGTTATCTGACTACAACTCAAAATACAAATTTTGAACCTGAATGGCATGGAATTTACTTAACTTACATACTGCACATTTCCTATGCTTACTCCCTTCCACTGTGGAACCTCATACAAAGTGCTCCATGTATTTGCTGCTTATAGAAGCTCAGGGCCAAACTATGTTACATTAAAAACATTTTTAACTACCATCTTAGAATAGGCTAACTCTCTTCCTTTACAAAAAGCAGCTGCATACACACACCACCTGGATGTGGACTACTTGGAAAAGTAATTTAAACTCTCCCCAAAGGTACTTCCTTGCTGGCTTTCAGTGACAGATGGAGACTAATACTGCGTAGTGGAATCTTATTATATTTACAATGAAATGACCTAGTGGGTTCCACAGTGATTATTTCCTAGTAAATGTGTATAGCATTTCAGCCTTCCTCTTGGAACCTGCTTACTGCATCAAATCTCAAGTCCTGAAACAGATGCAATACCAGAGATTAAAAATAAATATATACAGAGGTGCTTTTAAACTAGCTTAAGGACAGGACAGGACAGGCTTAAGGCAGACCCCTTTGGTATACATAGCCTTAGAAGGTATGCAGTGTTTCCTAGTATGGTAGGGAATGAAGAAGGGGCTTTTTCTGCCAAGGCCAGAGCTTCACAGGCTTACCCTTTTAGGGCTTGTCTGAGACTTAAGTCTCCTAATTAACTGACCATTAGGAATCCAAAAAAGTCCATTAGGACATCTGCTTAACAACCTATTAAGTCAAAGATAAGTTACACAGAAGGCAGGCAGAAGACCCTTTTTATAGGGTGGTAAGAGTCTTTTGGATTAGTTCAGTGACTATACAATTCTCCAAGGCTTAAGGCTGAGGAACTTTCCTGAGCCAGGCCCTTGGGCTAGCTAGCATGAACTGCACAATTCCACTTCAAAGTTGGGCAACTTATGGTTGACAACATCAAAGCCTTAATTAGTTTCCTAAACAAAAGCAATTAAAAAGGAGGGGGTTAATTCAGTAAACAGTTCTTGGGTGTGTTTTGTACTTTTAAATGTAAATTTAAACCATGGACAAATTATAAACTTGTTGAACATGGCCGCACAACAGCTCAATTTAAGCAGCTGAAACATAGTTGAACCCTTGCAAGACTACATGCGTCTTGTCTAAGGTGACAATCTTGCCTTTTAAAGTGTTCCAAAAATCTGGCTTCCATATGAGATCTAATACAAAGTATGATGAAAACTACTTAAGATTTTCCCTCCAGGGGCAACTCTGAGACTTACATGCTTTGTATTCTTAAAGAGTAAGCAGCAGCATAAATTGCCATTACTCCAACCATCTTCTAAAAGCACAAGAATTTTGTTGCAAACAAAAAACTCTCTCAACTTGTGGAATGCTCTCCCCAGGGAGGTTCAGCTGGTGCCTTCATTATACACCTTTAGATGCCAAGCAAAAATGTTCTTCAACCAGGCTTTTTACTGATTAACATCCTATACCCTTTTAAATGTGTTTGTGGAATGGTGTGCCGGGATGGGGTATATTAATTTGTGGACCCCCTATTTTATTATTTTGTGTTTTTATCTTGTATTTTTATGTTGTGGACTACTCTGAGATCTACAGATAAAGGGCTATATACAAACTTAATAAAATAAACAAATAAATAAATTACTTCCAAAAGCTTCTTCATTTATTTCCAGTGAGCAATTGCAGGCATGCAAAGCTAGACATAGGTCAGGTTCATGGCAACTCTGGAAACAATTCTCATTAAAATCAACTACATTTGCTTTGAGCTATGTTTGAGATCACAGCTGCTATGACAGCACAATATCCTGATTCCAAATATATTGCATAATAATACATTACATAGTAATATATAGTAAATAATTAAGATGATGATGATGATGGATTTGTTATTATTTCCCCCACTATGTTTTCAGCTGTTCTTATTTTAAATGTAAGTCACCTTGAGCCCGTCATGGAAAAATGTGGGGTATAAATATATAAGAACAACAACAACAAACACTGAAGTTAAGCAGGCTACCTACAAACTAACATGTTAGTGTTTCCCAAAGTGGGCGGTACCACCCCCTGGGGGCCAATGAGATTACCGTATTTTTCGCTCTATAAGACGCACCAGACCACAAGACACACCTAGTTTTGGGAGGAGCAAAACAAGAAAAAAAATATTCTGAATCTCATAAGCCAGAACAGCAAGAGGAATCACTGTTCAGTGAAAGCAGCATCCCTCTTGCTGTTCTGGCTTCTGTGATAGCTGCGCAGCCTGCATTCGTTCCATAAGATGCACACACATTTCCCCTTACTTTTTAGAAGGGAAAAAGTGAGTCTTATAGAGCAAAAATATGGTACTTACGGGGTACTAGTAGGCAAGAGCATGGCAGGAAGGCACTTGGTGTGCAAATGACTATCACTTGGGAAAGTTGATATCACTAGATCAAGTTAATCAATTTTACTGAATTAGAATTTTGAGTAAAAGTGAAATTACTTGTTACTGTATTGCTTTTATTGTGCTATTATCTTTCTTAATGGGTCGTGAAAACCACTATTCTGAATAAGGCTTTTGATAGTGTTCGGTAGGGGCACTGATGATGAGTTTACAGAACCAAGAGGGCAGTGGCCTGAAAAAGCTTGGGAACCATTGCCTTGGAAAAAAATTGAACAAAAATTTTCAGTGAGGCACCACTACCATTCGGAGCAACTGTGTTCCTATGTTTAGAATGGCCCAAGGAAAAACTACAGCAACATAAAATGTGTTATTTGTGATCAGATGAAAACAGGATGTATTTGAATACTTGAGACTATTACTTTAGTTGCATTGTTTAAAACAGTTGTACAAAGAAATCAGACTCAAACAGCAAGATACGAATCAAAGTTCTGGGGGGAAATATTAATATTCAATCACTTCTAAATGAGTTCTTACAGCATTCATTACTTACTTTCATTAAAAGCATATTCAAATCCTTCAAGTGTATCAGGAAACTCAAGAGGTGGCTCATCTTTTTTCATCAGTTCATCCAAGTCTATTCTAGACAACAAATCTGAAAAAGGGTGGGGAAGAAATTTGTCTTTCTGTAGACTGCAAATTCAGTTAATTACTTGCCCTTCTTCTTTTTTAAGTGTCTTTTTTAAAAAATGTATTCTAGAATACATTGAACAAGTTTTTATTTGGATTTCAGTACTCCTTTGAATAACAGATAATATTAGATGGACAATTATTAATCCATCCCAATGACAGGTTTCTACATACATAGACCATTTGATCATAACAAGAGGAACCAGCAGCAAAGTGTTGCAGTGTATCATCATGCCCAACTTCAGGTTTCCCCCAAAGATTAGTTGTTACCTCCCTCTTCTTTCTCAGTTGACTCATTTTGGCTCCATATCTGCCAACACTCAACCACAAAGTTTGCTATTGGAGGGAGTGATAATGCAAGAGTAACTGAAGCAATGTGAAGGCTGCCAGAGACAACAATGAAGTACTTTTGAATGAAACTTACTTAGAAACTGTCCAACTTTTCATTTCTACTATTCTTGTAATTTCAAAATCAAGGCAGTACAGTCTTCTACATTGCCAAAGGGCATATGGTAACACATCTGAAATGTTTTCCGAGGAATCTGTTATTTTGGGGGGAAAGCAGCAGAGGTTTCCTCACTCCTATTTACAGAGTGATGCTACCCCAAACTAATCCTTACTGAGAAGAAAAAGGATCAGTCACTATAAAATTTTGCTTTGCTGTGGAAAGCACATGGAACATTTTGAATTTATCCCAGTGGAAAGTATTGTTGGCATAACCACTAATCTGGAAGGACATTGTCAGAGCAAACAGAAACATGTGAAGTTAGTAATGTAGCAGGGGGCGATGGCCTAGCTCAGATCTGATCATCAAACAACGTGTTAGTCCTACACACCAAAATGGCAAAAACACGCAGCCCACTTAGTAAGTAGAAGGCCCACATGAATAATCCAGAGGTCTGCATGCTGAACCCATACACTAAGTTATTATTTGCTGTTCTTATACACAGTGGGCCATGGAAGCATCTAATGTGGGTGGGAACACAGTGGGCTCTTCCTAGGAGTGTGTGTCAGCATTCACTTGGGGAGAAGGCTTTGACCAGGTTGTTGGAAAGCACTGAGCAATTTCTGCAGTCACACTTTGGCTGGTGTCTTCTGTATAGCTGCATTATCAGATATTACCAGTCACAATATTGTGATTGATAGGTGACAGTGGAGTTGCAAAGGATGAGGTTTAAGCAATAGCCAATCACTCTGTACTGTTTTGTTTCCGTTAGTTTTGCTTTGCTTTTTGCACCAGTGCTCAATAGAATTTCACGTACACTATGCAATCACGAGTGTGGCTTATTTGTAACTTAAGATATTTGGGGCAGGGAGGGAGAGAAAAGCATTTGCTTTGCACTATCGTATGTCAGGATGGCCCACACACTTTTCATTTCCATAGCATATGTAACAGGAAACATGGAGCATATTGGTCCCATATTGACTAAAGTAAAAGATGTTCAATATGACTTGGATTCATTGATAAAATGCATCCACAATGACACATACATTGTCAGTGTCAGGATGTGCATCCATTTACTCCAGATGTTCATGTAGAGAACCTATATTAACACGGGTACTATCACAAGTCACGAAATTGAATCTAGAGAACTTTGCTCATGCAAGGAAGGACACATATTCCCACCCCCCTTCTCACATTTCTCCATGCTATTATAATCTGAAACCAGTTTTGTTATGGCATTATTGTAAGCTTAGAGACTCTGGGTGACAGTTAGCTAAGTTTTGCTCAGAAAAGACCCACTGGAATTAATAAACATGACTACGGTCAATTAGTTTCATTTGGTCTACTCTGAGTAAAACTTAGTTGAATACCACTCATTACTTTTTCAGCAGACATCTGTCTGCATTATTATTCTGATGTCCACATTAACAAGGTGCCACCAAGTGCATCAAGGGTCCCTGCTTCAACCTGGCACCTTGTAGAGATCCCATTTCACCTCTAATATGCCCCAAATACCTTTGTGCCATCTCACTTCATTTCTGGATATGCCTGACTACAATGCACATCACTGAATCTAGGCTCTAAGAGTTTTGCAGCAATGTGAACTGGGTGTAACAATATTATTTAAAACACTGTTTTAAAGAAATATTTTACTCATCATTTGGAAAATAGAATATTGTATACAACATTGTATTTTAGTTTCCCCAGATTTTCCAGTTTTTCCATTTCTGGATTTGGTAGGAAAGACTAGGGGGTGCGTTGTTCACATCTCTGTATACAGGTAACAGCATTCCCACTGTGTGCATTGGCTTCCTTTTCCAGCCAAAGAAAAAAGAAACCTAGACAGGCAGTGGTAAGAAATGTATAACAGCTGAGGATGTGGGTTGCACTCATTTGCACTTGCTCACCTGTTTCACTAATCACACAATTATAGTTCATCAGAGCAAAGTCTACGGAGTGCCTATGGAGGAGAAGTTCCAAATTAATTTGTACCCTTTAATGCTGTAGTCTTCTCTTTTTCATCAGGACCTCCCTGTTGAAGCTGTGCCATGCTTATCCAAATTCTCAGCCAGATTAAAATAATGGAGGGAACATGCATCAATCTTGGGAGGATGAGCTGAAAAATTAAAGAAAGTTCAGAATTTGCAGTCAGTTTGGTTCCACTTCAGAATGTTTCTTGAAAATGATCAGCAGTGTAAAACTGTATTTAATTTAATTTATTGTATCTCACCTAAGGTACTCTACCTTGCAGTCTCTAAAATAGGCAAAACAAAAAACAACAGAACAATATTTCTAATATGAAACAATCCTCAAGTTAAAACCAATTACAGAAACCATCGCAACAAAAAACACAGTAATAATTCCAACACAGCAAAGCACAAACAGGAAAATGATCAGCCAAAGGTCATTTTCAACAGCCAGGCCTCTACCAGCAGCTTGAAAACATACAGTGACAGGACTTGGCACAAATTGTTTGGCAAGGCATTCCACAGGATAGGCACCACCTAAAAGAATAAACAAGCTCTGGTTGTCATCAGCTGTACAGAGGTACCTCGGGTTATATACGCTTCAGGTTGCATACGCTTCAGGTTACAGACTCTGTTAAACCAGAAATAGTACCTCGGGTTAAGAACTTAATTCGTTCTGGAGGTCTGGTCTTAACCTGAAACTGTTCTTAACCTGAAGCACCACTTTAGCTAATGGGGCCTCCTGCTGCTGCTGCCGCCACACCACCAAAGCACGATTTCTGTTCTCATCCTGAAGCAAAGTTCTTAACCCGAGTTACCGTACTATTTCTGGGTTAGTGGAGTCTGTAACCTGAAGCGTCTGTAACCCAAGGTACCACTGTACCTTATAAGAGAGATCTGAAGAAAGGCCTCAGATGATGATCAAAGCATGCTGAAAGTAACATAAGGGAAAAGATGTCCAAGTCCCAAGATGTTTTGCTTTAAAGTTTAATACCAGCACATTGAATTGAACCCTGAAACAAACTACCAGCTAATATAAGTCATGGGAAATCCACTATATGGCAATTAAAGCACCTAGCAACCATCAGTAACCTAGATGTAGCATTTTGTACAAATTGCAATTTCCAAGATAGTCTGTAAATCCAAACTGAAATCAGATGGTCTCACCACCAGCAGTACTTCTGTTTTGTCTAGATTAAGATGCAGCTTGCTCCACCTTTTCCAGGCTTTCACATCTACCAACTGCCTCTTTAGAATCAAGTGAAAATTAGAGAGAGAGCTGGGTGTCATAAGCATCATGATGAGATTGTATTCAAATCTCTAGACCTTTTCTTGTAGCATGGGCACAAAACTTAACCTTAACCTTGCCAAACCCCATAAACCAAGGGGAACAGCAGCTGTTCCCCAGCAGCCACCTTCTGAGTCCTATCTGCAGGAATGAGCAGATATACATCAACACTGTACTCCAATTCCCTTCCCTTCAAGGTGGTCTAGAAGGATACTAGAGTCAGTTGGAGATTCAAGAAACAGGGTCACATTTCCTTTATCCATCTCCTGGCACAGAACATAACCAAAGGTGATCAAGAAAGTTTCTATGCCTAACCCAAGTCACAAAACAGACTGGAAGTAATCTAGATAATCTAGATTGTTCTAATAATCTAGATAATCTAGAAGTTCTTGGAGCCGCTCCATAAAAGCTAAAATACTTTTTTTAATTGAGAAAAAGATACAATGTTTTCTGCAAGCTGAGCAGGACAGCACCTTCCAATGGAACAGAATGTGCCTGTGCTCTAAGAGCAATGTCTTAACCGAATAGGAATGAATTGTGATGCCATGCATCACCTAGCCCCAAGTCTGCAGGGCTTCGATTCTCTTCCTGCAGTAGTCCCCAGCTCATATCCTTAATCTTGCTCACCCTTTAAACCTACATTCATCCCGCAGCTCTTTGCCCACAGCTTCTTCTGTAAGACTGGAAATATCCAATATGAATTTCCATTTACAGCCACTTTCTTCTAACCTTATTTTTCCATCTTTTACCCACTCCCACTCTTCCTTGACTCTGTCCATCTCCAGTCCCACAATATCCGTGACACAAAGCTGTAGGGCTCTCCCCTTCTGGCCACAGCTGACTGTGCTAGGCCTCAACACTCAGTTAGCTAAAGCTTGAGATCCTATAGCAGAGCAGGATCATGATGATCAACATTAGCTTCAGAATTTGCACCCTAGCCTTCCACATTTTTGTCTCAACTATTATCAGCTCCTTTTCCAACCTTTCAATTCTTTCTCATTCATCCAATCTGTGGGCCTCCCACAGCACACTTTTCATTGTGCAATTCACACATTAAGTAGACCTACAGGGTATTTCTTCTAGGATACTGACAGAAATTCTCACCTTTAGGTCCCTAAATTTCAGCCACTAACCACATACCATTTTCCTTCTGGAAACAAAAAACCATTTGTAGCATAAAATGAATTTTGTCCTTGGGGTGTGTGTTTACTACACCAGTCAATGTTAGCAGATTGGGGTAGTAAAACACCCAATTGTTTTGTCATAGGTCAGCGAAAGGTTAAGAAAATGTGTTGTGTGCCAATAGATTAGAAGAAACCTTATTCCTCTAACCCAGGGCAGTTTTCTTAATGGGGTCAGAAAAATACACCACAAAACAGTTAATATTAGCTTGCTTTTATTGCAACTGTGATTTTATATTTTATACTTTTATCTTATTAATCAGTTGACCATTATAAATACCTGACTTGCTTTCAAGTATCTGCACTATTTTAATTAATATCTTGACATTCCCTCTCAACAGACAGCAGTTAAGCATGTATACAAACTCTTTGACATCAAACAATGTAAATGCAATGAACTTGAGTGAGGGAGCTCAGAAGCAGTAGGCAGCAATATATTAAAAGGTAACAGCTGCTAGTAAATACTGATATTAATGCCTCAACCTTGCAAATAATTTAATTAATTTTACTGATTTAATCTAGCATGGCCCAGACTGTTTAAAACGTTGATCTCATTTCTTGTGAGTTTTGCTTTTATGCTGCACACCAGTTTGAAATCTGATATAATGAAGGGCGTATGTGTGTGTGTGTGTATGCAAAAACAAGAATGACCAAGTGCAGCATTTATTTTATGCAAGCCTGCCTGAGTGCATTTCTCAGCCTCAATTTTCTGTGGCAAGTCCAGACATCTGTGAAATATACCCTCACAGCCCTGGCATACAAGGCACCCCCCCCCATGTTCAACAGGACTGTTATTTGTTGCTCAGGCTCCTGTTTCAAGTCTCTTACCTTTTAAGTCAGCTTTGCAATGCCTCTACATTTCTGGCCACAACCTTTCCAAAAGCTAGCACTCTTTGCCACCCCCCACCCCCCAAAAAAAGTCAAGACTGTGGGAAACACAAAAGACCTGCAACTCACATGTTGCTAAGCAATACTACATAACCTACCCAGAACCAGCTAGAGAATTTTGGACAGAGCTCAAATGACTAATCTAGCAATCAGAAACGTACCAGGTGAACGTTTTAATTTCATTTATACGACAATTGTTTATGTTTTTACATGCAAGCCAAGTTTGGGAAAAGAAGTAAAAGATGACTCAGCATTTACATACTGTCAGGTGAAAAAAGGAATTCCTATGGGGGAGGGATATAGTGTGGGGAATCCAGCTGCTGCCTGGTAAAAGTGACAACAGCAAAACATCACAGCGCAGCGAGATCCTGATTGTTATGCATACATTTAAGGCACTCGGCTGAGCAGCAAACACGGACTATATGCCAAATGTGAAGAGGAACACATTTTTTAAAAGAGGCCAATGACAGGCTCCTGCCATCCCTCTCCCTCCCTCTTCCCGGGGCCAAGGTCCTGGCGATCTTTTTTTCTCTGAGCGACAAGCCCAATTCTCCCCGCCCCCAGAGCAGAGCGCCAGAGCCAGGAAACAACGTGGGCGAAGCAGCTTGAAAGGAAAAGGGACTCCTGTGATTTCTGACGCGGCGGCCACCTTGTACTTCCTGGTCGCAGCAGCCAACCAGGAGGAAGAACAAGAGCGAGGGCAGCTACAGCTCAAAGGCAGCGGCGCTCCGCCCGAGGTGGACACGCGAGGTGCCGCCACCTCAGAGGCGGGAAGGCAAGAGGACGGTGCCCCCGCCGCCTGTGGTCAGGCGCAGCTCGCTCCCTCGGCTGAAGGCCACGCAGCCCGCGGCGGAAGGGAGGCGGCCAGTAGCCGGGAGAAGGCAGCTTCCCCTCCGCCGCCTCCACCTGTCAGTCCTATCTCTTTCACACACGGACACACGCACAACACCTGAGGGAGGGGGGTGAGGTGAGCCTCTGCCATTCTCCTCAGCGGGGGGGGGGGGAGCGAGGGAAGGGGCGGCCGTTGGCGCGCGCAAACCTCGGCGCAACGGCTGCAACGTACCTGCTGCCGCCCTTCCCGGTGGAGGGGAGGGGAGGGGGCGTGGCCAAGGCTTGTTACCGGGAGACGCGCCGCCGCTTCTCGCCTCACTGTTTTGTAATGGGGGGTGGGAGGGTTGTCCCGCCCTCGCTTGCTCGCTTTGCCTTCCCCCTTTTTCCCGCCCTTTCCTTTCCCCTCAGCTCCACAGACGAGAGGCGAATTTCGAGAGTTCCACTTCCGGGCCCGGGGTAACGTCACACATAACCCGCGCGCAATCGAACTAAGGGACAAAAGGAAGGCGGGGGCGGGGCTTCCTTCCTGCCGCCCGCCCGCTTCCTGCGCTCAGAGAAGTCGCTGTCAAGTCCGGATCGAGAGAGAAAGAGCGCCAAGGCGTCAGCGAAATAATGCGCTAGGTCAACTGAGCATGCGCAGCTCCCCTCGGAGTCTGCTCAGTAAGAGCCGGCGAAGCCGCCGGTAGCTTCTCTTCTGCCCTCAGTTGAAGGACGTTCCACCTCAGTACGATTAGCCAAGGCAATCAGATCCGTTGCTTGAAGCCCCAAACCTGCCTGGATGCATTTTGGTTTGCCTGCTGATGAAAGTGACCGTGTGGTGATTGGTAATATCGTCATCCCTAAGTAGTAGCAGTTGCCAGGACATTGTCCCGTTCGCCTCTGCATTGTTTCATCCTTATTTTGGACATTGTGGTAGATTGCAATATTTAGCTGGTGATGTATTGCGATGTTAAAAACCAGATATTGCCCAGCTTTCACACATGTCGTGATTAGCGATATATTACCAGGTCAAATATTATGAAACAGTTATCGCAATGCGAACTTCAAACCAATATATTCCCCAGTCCTAACAACTGCTGTGGAAAAGTAGTGATTTCCATGTTAGGGATCATTAGGAAAGGGATTGAAAATAAATCTGCCAACATCTTAATGTCATCTATAGTGAGACCACACACAGAATATTGTGTACAGTTCTGGCTGCCTCACTGCAAAAAGCATGTAGAACTGGAAAAATTTCAGAAAAGGGCAACCAAAACAATCAAGGGTATGAAGCAACTACAACATTTCAGGCTCTTTAGTTTAGAAAAATGGCGAGTACGGGGTGGGGAGGGAGATGATAGTGTATAAAATTATGTATGATGTGAATAAATAAGCTAAATAAACGTTTTTATCTCCTGTAATACTAGAATTCATGGCCATCCAGTGAAGTTGAATGTTTGAAGATTCAAGACACTGAAAAGCATTTCACACAATTCATATTGAAAGACGTTAAAAAGTGATGTCCTGTATCCATTGTCAGAGGCAATATGTCTCTATATACCAGATGCTGAGAATCACAAATGGGGCAAGTGTGGTTGGCCAAGTGTGAGAACAGGATGCTGAACTAGATGGCTCCAGCAGACCTCTTCTTCTGTTGCCCAAGAAACAATGCACCTCCCATTTACCCTTGAAGGAGTTACCTGAGGTGGCAATGTAGCATTGCAGTGTTACTTCTTCTGCCAAAATGTACTTCTCCTGCTGGACAGTGGGAAATTGGCCCACTGTTGAGTCCTTTGCCAGATTCTGGGGCTCAGTAAGTGTCTGGTGTTGAAGCCCTTGCCGGTGAGTCCCTGTGATCATTTGTTGTTCCTGACCAAGTAAGTCACTGCTTCCCAAACAGTGGTCCATAGCCTACCAATGGGCCTTGTGCCACTTTCAGGTAGGCATCAGTGCCACAGCCTACCCAGTATCTCCTCACTTGCAGGTCCACCCCCTAGATGTGCCATGACCTTTTGGTAGGGCCAATGCCAGCGAGATGGTGAACTGAGTAGTGGATGGTGAGGGAAACACCTGACAGATACTGAAGTCATGCAGTTAATTCAATAATTTTCTTCATATTCAGTCTTAGCCTGGTGCAGCAAAAGATGTCACTGTGAATTTTTCCAAATTGGCCAGACTAAATTATACTAATAACTTTGTTAGTTAAAGATGTGGAAAGCTAGAGAGTAATCTAACACACATAGATATTCACACTGTAAGGTAATATGGATTTGGAGAAGATGCCAAGATAAATAATCTACCTTTTGCTATGCATATCCTATGCATTTTTCTTGATTCTCCTTGTACATTGCTGATCTGTGGGCTAAAAATAAGTTCAGTGCAACTTGGATTTGATGTGTGCTTTGAGTTAAGTGACTGATTTTATAGACTTAGAAATCCGGTGGTCCACCTGATACTTATAAGCAGGTAACAGAACATATAGAACTGACGTCATGGGAACTTCTGAAGTTTATTCAAAGGAATACCTTATTTAATTTCAATGACATACGGGACATCTTTGGGGGAGGAGTTGATGAAAACTACATTGCCCTAAAGCAAGTCACTTTAACATAATAACCCATTTGGTTTTGGGACAGTGTGTTCCACATGATTTCTAAAATTCTGAATATTACAGGCTTGGCCTTATTTCAAGGAGCAAAGAAAGAAATTTAAGGCATTAATAATCCATTTCCTTGTAGCAGCTTGATGGAGATTGCCTTCTTATGGAGAAGGGATGATTTGCTAACTTTGGAAAACTGGTACAATAGGGTTTAGAAGGTTACACTTGTAGACGAATTAGCACAAGATGGTACAGTGCTCAGAGGCAGCATTACTGGAGATAAATTTTATGATCAACTGTTTCCCTTGATTTCTTTCGTTAATTCCTCACCAGAACGTAAACCAACTTCTGTTCACTTCTTTTTGTTATCCTGAACCTTATCTTGATATTTCAGATTTTCTTTCTTTATATATCATGTCATTGACTCCCTCCAAGGTTTAAAGAAGGCTGTTAACTTTGCAAGTCTGCTGATGTAATCAGTCCTGTATGCTTGGCATTTATTGATATATTCTTTCCAAAGTGTGTAACAAGGACTCATTGTTCATTTATGTATTTCCCCCCCTTGATACAATGTTTGGAATGTTTGGATAAGTTTAATGTTTTGTCTGTAGTTGTGTGTGTGGTTACTTGCCTAGCTGACACTCCCATACTCCTCCTTTTCTCCAGTTCCCCTTTATGGGGAAGGCTTGCAGCTTAGCAGTAGAGTATTTGCTTTGCATGGGGTTTTTATTTTATTTTACAATTTATCTGGATGAAGACATATCTGAATTCATAATGACCAAGTAGCTAAGGGCATACCTCAATCTGTCCTCATCTTCTGGATGATTCCAAACCATCTAAAAATATTATATATTTGCTCTTCTGCATTACATGCTTTTAAAAAAGTTATTTTTGTTATCTTCAAAGATAAGAGATTTTTTAAAAGAATAAAATACAAAGAGCATGAAGAACAAGGGTTGTACCACCAGTCATGAAAAAATGAAGGGCACTGATATTTTAATAATATCAAGCATAATCTATCTGAATGACAGGAAATGACATGTGATAGTCCCAGGGCAATCTGAGTACCACTTACCTTCATCAACCAATGCCAATCTCCTGGAAGTCTTTGTAGGGAAAGGTTATTTCCTGCCTTCTTTTGAATTTTAACAGGGGAAGAGTTGTAGCTGATCTCCCAAAGTGTATTATTCAAAACATGTTGGAATTATCACACTTCTTTCCTTATTTGTTTAGGTTTTTTTATGCAGGATATTAACCCTGCACCAGTGTGGCTTTCCATATATTCTTTTTGTCAGTAAGAAAAAGCAGCTGCTGGGTGATCCTCTAAAGTGGGATTGCATGTGGATGCTAGATGACTATTAAAATCAAACAAGGCAGGCCTTGCAAGCAGTAGTTAAATCACCAGTAGGTTCGGTTAAAGCTGTAATATTCCCATTGCCTTAGGAGTGCATGTGTAATTGCACCTGTGTTCTTGAAGTCTGATCATGCAAGACAAAGAATGCCCTCAGCTTTCAGTTATGCACTTGGTTGCAACTAGCACTTTGCAGGCAGCGATCACATTTCCCAGAATTAGGTTCTCAGCCTCCATGTGTCATGATAATGTTTGTATGGGATGGATTTTCATTTGCACTCAGTACTTGATCTGTGCCCAAAAGGGCTATTTCTTTGTTCACATTGAAGTGCAGACTGCCAAGAGAACATAAAATAATCTTTTCGAATTCAGGAACAGCTCATTTATTTTGGTTTCAATATTATTCTGTCAAGAATAAAAGGGAAATAAATATCCACATTAATTTTGCATTTACTAAAAAAAATATTAAAGGGTTGTTTCCCACATTACAAATTTTGACACTAGGGGGCTCCCCACAAGTCATTTTGAGATAATGTATTTGAATCACTTTGAAGTATTAAATTGCGGTATATAAATACTATGCGCTTCTGTTGTTATGACTGCTACTATTATGCCTTTAAAAAGTAATGTGATAGAGCTGACTACACATAGCTGGATTTCAGAAAGACGAGTACTGCAAGTTCTGGAACCAACTCAACATGAACAATACAGTTCTCAAAACTAATGAGATGTAACCCAGCATTTCTATGTAAGATTTTCAGGAAATGACATCTTAGAAATTACAAACAGTATATTTTGTCTTGTGCATTTTAATCCTCAGAGGAAACAGCACAACTATATGAACTACGCATGTCAAAGGTTTTGATCAAACTCTTCCTTCTTTTGTACTCAGCTATTTTTCATGGCCCTGTGGTTTTTCTATCTAGCTCAGCCTTTTGAATACTGATGATGTAGGGTTGCCATATCTGGACACAAAAGTTGTTGAGCTTTTTTTTTAGTTTAGCCTGAGGTTGTTGAGCTTTTTCTTCTTCTTTTGTAAAAAGGAAATTCACCAAATTCTACACGCAAATTCCATATGCCCAGATTTTCTATGGTAACCAAAACATTGTTCTGTTCTAGGTATATGTGTGTATCTAATCAACCCCAGTGGAGGCTGGTCCGCTGTGTCTATTGGGACCCAACCTTCCTACTGAAAATGTCAAGCAATTTTTTTAAAAATCCTCAAATTTTCAAAGCCACACTTTCCTGTCCCACACACATTTTATATTTCCTTGAATTTAAGAGGCATTTCTGTTAATCTCCTGATCACTCTGACCAATCAGCTCTCTGAGCCACTCAGCCAGTCATAACAGTATAGCTATGGCAATGAGGTCTCTCCAATCTGTCTCTAAACAGAAAAATCATGTGACTGATAGGGCTGCTGGAAAGTCAGCCCTGGTAAGAAATCTCTTACTCTATCTGTTGTTTTGAGGCCTTTTCAGTACAGCCACTAGCAGTTGAGGATGTAGGGCAGCTTCAAAACAGTCCTATGTGATAGGCTAATGCTATCAGAACCATATGTTAGTTCTGAGTATGCTCAGAGCTGTTTCCTTGAAGGCTACAGAAGCAATAAGGAGTGTTTACTAATTGGAGGAATGCTTGTTTGTTTGTTTGTTTGCTTAATAAATATTCATTTTGTGACCTTGCTAGAGAGCATAATAATAATAATAATAATAATTTATTATTTGTACCCCGCCCATCTGGCTGGGTTTCCCCAGCCACTCTGGGCGGCTTCCAACAAAGATAAAAAATACACTAAAATGTCACATATTAAAAACTTCCCTGAACAGGGCTGCCTTCAGATGTCTTCTGAATGTCAGGTAGTTGTTTATCGCTTTGACATCTGATGGGAGGGCGTTCCACAGGACGGGCGCCACTACCGAGAAGGCCCTCTGCCTGGTTCCCTGTAACTTGGCCTCTCGCAGTGAGGGAACCGCCAGAAGGCCCTCGGAGCTGGACCTCAGTGTCCGGGCAGAACGATGGGGGTGGAGACGCTCCTTCAGATATACTGGACCAAGGCCGTTTAGGGCTTTAAAGGTCAGCACCAACACTTTGAATTGTGCTCGGAAACTTACTGGGAGCCAATGTAGGTCTTTCAAGACCGGTGTTATATGGTCTCGGCGGCCGCTCCCAGTCACCAGTCTAGCTGCCGCATTCTGGATTAGTTGTAGTTTCCGGGTCACCTTCAAAGGTAGCCCCACGTAGAGCGCATTGCAGTAGTCCAAGCGGGAGATAACCAGAGCATGCACCACTCTGGCGAGACAGTCTGCAGGCAGATAGGGTCTCAGCCTATGTACCAGATGGAGCTGGTAAACAGCTGCCCTGGATACAGATTTGACCTGTGCCTCCATGGACAGCTGTGAGTCCAAAATGACTCCCAGGCTGCGCACCTGGTCCTTCAGGGGCACAGTTACCCCATTCAGGACCAGGGAATCCTCCACACCTGCCCGCCTCCTGTCCCCCAAAAACAGTACTTCTGTCTTGTCAGGATTCAACCTCAATCTGTTAGCCGCCATCCATCCTCCAACCGCCTCCAGGCACTCACACAGGACCTTCACCGCCTTCACTGGTTCTGATTTAAAAGAGAGGTAGAGCTGGGTATCATCCGCATACTGATGAACACCCAGCCCAAACCTCCTGATGATCTCTCCCAGTGGCTGCATGTAAATGTTGAAAAGCATGGGGGAGAGGACAGAACCCTGAGGCACCCCACAAGTGAGAGCCCAGGGGTCTGAACACTCATCCCCCACCACCACTTTCTGAACACGGCCCAGGAGGAAGGAGCGGAACCACTGTATGACAGTGCCCCCAGCTCCCAGCCCCTCAAGACGGTCCAGAAGGATGTTATGGTCGATGGTATCAAACGCCGCTGAGAGATCCAGCAGAACTAGGAAACAGCTCTCACCTTTGTCCCTAGCCTGCCGGAGATCATCAACCAGTGCGACCAAGGCAGTTTCAGTCCCATGATGAGGCCTGAATCCCGACTGGAAGGGATCCAAATGGTCCGCTTCTTCCAGGCGTGCCTGGAGTTGTTCAGCAACCACTCGCTCAATCACCTTGAGCAGGAGTGACCAAGGAAGCAACAGCAAGTCTTAAGTCTGTAATTAATATCTATTTTTTACTTAATCATTTTGTGATTATTTTTTTGAACTGGGAAACTGGAAGAAGTAGTAGAGGATGGAAATATGTGTTGTAACTGACCCTGTTTCAATATTATTCTGTCAAGAATAAAAGGGAAATAAATATCCACATTAATTTTGCGTTTACTAAAAAAATGTTAAAGGGTTGCTTCCCACATTACCAATTTTGACACTTTCCCTACATTCACTCAATAAAAGCTGCAGCAGCTGCTAGGTGCACAGGGTAATTTTAAAACAAATTTCTGTGGATTTAAAGAAATTCTAGATCAATTGGGTGGCGGACATGCAAAGCAATCAAAGATGTGTCTTGATTGCTCTTGGAACGAATAATTGTTTTTTGCATGACTGTAATTTCCCAAATTTTGGAAATATTTTTATGGTGAGGTACTTCTGAGATCTCAGTTTCCAAGGAATTTTAGTTGCCCATGATACGTTAAGGGGCCATCTGTATAAGCCAGTGCACAGGCTTTGAATAGGACAAATGGAGAAAAAGCAATAATCGGGCTCTACGTTGGATTAAACATGATTACGTGCATTGAAGGACCTGTGCAAGCAGTATACAACCTGTCTTAAAATAGTTGGTATACTGCAATCATGTTGCTAAAATCTGCCACATCATAGCACAAGAGGTGGCACAAGACACTTTGCATCTATGCACTGCAGTATCACCAGAGTGACAGTGCTGTCCTGTTCATGCTCCATTTTGTTTTCTTAAAAGTTACATGCTTCAGAAACTGGTTTCCCCTCTGACTCCCTCTCAGGTGGAAGTTGCCTTTCCGCCTAATATTTATTCTACCTGTGTTTAGGAATGGCAGTTTTCATCTATCAAGTAATATTTTCAGAACTTCCAGAAAATGAATTTTTAGCATAGTTTTGTCATTGGTAGGACTTACAAGAGCTAAATATCAAGGATGTTGGTAAAGAGTCTGCCAGCTGAGAAGAAAATCGAATGTTTCTGCCATAGGGAAACTAATTGAAAGGAACGGGGCCCATGTTTGGCCTCGGACTGCTGAGAGGGTGGAGCAATGTATTAAAGAACATTCACTCACAATCTGGAGTAGTTCTAGAATCAATAGTTTTATTGCCCATAGAGCCTACAAAATGCCCTTGGAAGGAATGAGAGATCATATAGGGTTTATAGGAACAGTAGCTATTAAAGAAAAGTACATGTATTTTGTACATCACCTTTGACACCCCCTGTTCAATCTCTGAGCTATATTAGAAAAGTTATCAAATAACTGCAGTTCTTATTCAAGTTACAATCACTTCCAGCAGTACCACCAAGCATTGAAACAAACTAAGCACAAGCATGTTTCAGAATAAAAGATACTCTAGTTTCATGAGAAATGTGACAAAGGAACTGAATAAAATAATAGTGATATAAAAAGTGATTATATTGCACTAGTTTACACAAGAGGGGCACACAGCTGAGTTTGAATAATGTCAGGAACAAAATGAAAATGACATCACTATGCCCTGCTATTACGGGTAGTCACTTAAATAATGGAGCCTAAACATGGCCCTAAACACCTTCCTGAAGACAAACCTAAATCAATTTCCATGAATATAGAACTGGAGGATTAAAAAAACTTTTGAAGGCAAACATCATCATCTCCATCAAACAACCAAGTCTACATTTCTTCATCATGCTCACTTACCAAGATTCTTATTTTATTTTGCTGGTGTTTCTTTACCGAGAAGTGCCCTGGATATTGTACTTCTTTACTTGAACAAGATGCAGTTGCTCCTGTATGATAGGCAAGCCACCCTGGAACTCACAGGCCCTGGGATTGAATACAGCAAGAGTTCTACCTCTTACAGTATTGTAAATATTTGCACTCATGCCGATGAGTGAGGGGTACAGGGAAGTACAGAGGAGGAGATGATATTCTTCCCAATATTCTGCTAATGCTTCTACAAATAAGAGATTTGGACAGAAACAGGACTTTTCTACAATAATAAGATTTAAAGATACTGAAGTATTAAGTATAAACAAAAAGTGAATTGTGATATTAGATGCTTCTAGTATTCCTTGGGTACTTACCCTTATATCTACTGTATCTGAATGTGAATATAAGGGAAGAGATAAACAGGTCAATTCTACTTTTGCTGCTTAAGTTGCAGGTGCTAAAGCAGAACCCTATGCTAAGGAAGTCAGCCAGAGCTACTCATCTGTCATCTACTGCTGCTACATACACAAGAGCATCAGATCAGACTGTCAAGATTTTGAGAGAAGAGTCTAGAATAATTGCATTCCGCTAATACTCCACTATGTAAAAAGAAAGGTTCCTGCATCTCCCAACTATTTTGGGAGCCAGTTCCCATTTCCTTGGGACAAGAGACAAAGGAAAAGTTTTTAACATTAATCTTTGATTTCTAGATTCTCGAGCAGCAGGCATACTAAATTTGCAATACTGTGCAGGTTTACTCAGAAGTAAATCCCAGTATGTTAAATGAGGCTTAGTCATAGGCATGTATGCATAGGATTGCAACTTTAATACAGCAACTCAATAGAGTGGTCAGCTCCTAAAACTGCCAAATTGTGTTTGATATAAAAATATGTTTTAGATATTGAAACTAATCTTAATAAGGCTTCTAATAACTTTGCACTCATTATACAAAATTATAAAACAAGACTTCTATGTATTATGCCATGTCATGTGCACAGTCTATGACACAGTCTGGTCTTGAATTTTTATTTAAGCTGTCCATTGATATTGACATGGTAACTTATCTGTTGGCTCAAGCCTCCAGTACTTTGGGTAGTTTCAGGTTACCATCCATTTGCTAGTAATCTATCAGTTTTATTTTTTAAGTTTACAGTTATTTTAAACATTTTAAAATTGTTAATTTTTTAAAATATTCCTTACAAAGGTATATCTGTACACCAACAAACAACTGAAAAGGTAACAAAACATAGCACTTAAATGTTCCCTAGAAAATACAAACATACAAACCAAATTTTGTACAAATTATGCAGAGGGCAAGATCCAATGTTGTGCCATTGAATGTGTGGGAATCCCTTTCCCTACTCTTCCATCTTTCAGTCTACTGCAGAGGGACCCCCAACCTGCATGGGAGAGTGAAAGAAGGGAAAGTTTTGATAGCACAACTTGGGGCATCACAATTAAATGTCACCCAGAACTTCTTTGGAATAGCATCAATTCTCAGTTCTTTATGCAAGTAGTACTCGAGTCAAGATCTCTCTTCTGCTTTATCTTCAGAGGCAAGAGAGGTTGTTGTGAGATAAAGGTTTTTTAAGTGCTCCAGCATCACTTTTTCCTCCTCTTCTAGAGTTTCTTCCTCCTTCATCTCCCATCTGAAATTTAAAAACACACACACCAAAACTATTGTATTTCTTCAAATTCATTAAGCTGATACAACACATATTTGCTTAATATACTGGCGAAAATTATTTAACTGACTTTCATGTATTTAGTGGACCCAATTTATTATTCTTAACTGCATAAGATATATAATTTTCCCACACACATTTCTGCACACTCAGTAGAAATGATTTATTATTATGGTATTTCTAGGTCATGGGCCGTTCAGTGCTTTGGAGTCTATGTATTAAACTTTTATCTGTGTGTGTATTGCATTCTCTGGATTATTTACTTCTTATTTAAAAGCTTCTTCCTGCATTCAAGGCATACTGGCTGAACATGGCAGTTTACAAAAATAAAATACATCATAATATGAAACACTCCATCAACCTCACTAATTTCAAAGCAACAGCAATAATATGTTTTAAAAGCATGACACATTGTTTGAATAACATAGTTTTCAGGAGATGTCCAAATGATTACTAAAATATTAACATTCTAAGGCCTTTTAATCATGTTTGTGGTTTGCTTTTGTTTTACTATGTATTTTGTGGTCTCATTTTGTATTTTTATGTTGTGATCTTCAGCTGAAGGGCGGCATACAAATTTAATAATAGAATGCATGATTCCTGCTGATCATCCACTAGCAGTGAGTTCCACAGGTCAGGCTCTACCACACTAAAGGCTAAATCCCTAGTAAAGGACAACCAAACTATAATAAGCACACCTCAAAGAATATCTGTGATCAAAGAAATCAGATAGCACTTTGGGCCTAAGCTGCATAGTGCTTTGTGAATTTACATAAAAATCTTGAACTTGGCTTGGTAGCAAATTTGCAACCAGTGCAGTCCTCTCCGGATAGGAGTAACATGTTGCCAGTAGCCAGCTCCTGTGAGCAGTCTGGCAGCTGCATTCTGCACCAGCTGCAGCTTCTGGACCAGATGCAAGAGGAGCCCAGCATAAAGCTTGTTACAGTAATCAAATCTTAAGGTTACCAATGTATGGATCACTATGGTCAGGCTATCCTGGTTCCAGCAATAGTCACAGCTGGTGTACCAGCTGAAGCTGGTAAAAGCATTCCAGGCCACAGAACTTACTCAGGCCCCTAGTGACAAATATAGATAAAAGAGAATCCACAGGCTGCAGTAGCAGCCACACAACCCACCTCCTTGAAGACAGCAGGCACTGTCTCATCATGCAAAGAAGAATTCACCAACCTTAGACACACCTGGTCAACCCATTGATTGTACCAGTTATGATGGGCACATATCCAGAGTGCAAGTGGTTGGGTGCATCCCTGCAAGCACGCCTGTCTGTGTCTTCAGGTTGCATAGACTAAAACTGATCCCACAAAATTGAAGTAGGTTTATCCCTGGACACTAATGGTAACATCTAAATTGCCACAAGGTCAAGCCACTTCATCCTCAAAAAGATGGGTCAGGACAGGAGGCCTCCAGTAGGTAAAACAACACTCCAGACATCACAGAAAAGCTCAGCTGGACAAGGATGCAAGAGAAGCCTTTTTCTGCCCATATTTGTAGACTCAATTATGAACTCTAAACAGTGCTTGGTTGGCCTTCAAATGAGATATATGCAGCTAGCACTCAAGCCATTGTCCAGCTTGTTTCACCACCTGCAACTCCCTAGAATACCAATGTGTATTATATAGCAAGGCTGCCCCTCTACAATACTACTATTCAATCTAAAATATGGATTCTCTGTTTTACTATTGTAGCCGTTTGGTTCTTCCTTTTGATATAGCACAATGATTCAAGCATCCAGCCATATTAATGGTATGCGTTGTTCTACCACCATCTCAAATATCCTAAATTTGGATGGCTTCTTTTTCTGTCCCTTAATGTGTCATGTAGAACAAGCCTAATAACAAGCATTACACCCTTTACTTGAATGTTGACTCAGATATTTTGAGCAACAGAAAGTATTTCAAAATGATTGTTGAAAGTATAAGTCTAAATTTTAAGGGATAACGCAACTAGAAAGGACTTAGAGAGAGCACCTAAAACACTTAATTTTGATACAAATATAAATAGGTTGCTAGTGTATGCTGAAGACACCCTTTATGTGAAAATCTGTTCATTCACTTAAAAGGTATTGCTTGCGCCCAGCAAGAGAGATCCATATGCAGAAACAGCCTTCTGTGCCTGTTGATGGTGCATTTCTGGATGCATATCCCCATCTGAGCCCCATTAAAGCGGCTGGATGCATCTTTTTATGCCAATGGGGAAGTGCATCTGCAGCTAGGGCCACCAATTGTTATGCATGACTAGTTGCCTGTAACTGAAGCTGGATTAGGGCCAATTACTTTTCAGCGTCCTTTATTGAATGATAGCTCTTATGTTGATATTGGTCCCCAAGATCACATTTGGACCCATTTTCTCCCCCAAAATTAAAATGCACATATTTTGTGCCCAGTTTTGCCAATGTATACAGGATTATGAAATACTGGAAACTGATCAAATATAACTTGCATGTTTCTTAGAAATGATTGCATTATTGAGTTTAAAGTAACCCAAAAGCATAACATACAGCAGGAGTCAAGGGAACAAATTACCATTACTGCTCCAAAATGAATAAAAAGCATGTTTCTATGTTCAAATGGAAGATGGGACTCAACATTTATAACTCAAGAGATGTCCAGAATGGAACATGCCTTTATTAGCATATCCAAAATGCATAACCATTATTTTGGCAGCAGCAGCTGGCAAAAAATTAGTGATGTACCAGTTCAAGTAATATGAATGAATTCATTTTAAAATACTGTCTCCATCAGTCAGACAGCCAACTTTCAACCAGTGTTATTTCAAATTAACAACAATGTGGCTTTTAGATGTCTTTTAAATCTGTAACTGGCACAATCTTTATTTAGGATTAAATTAGAATTTTTGAAGATTAAATTAAATTAAATCTGCTGTCCAAATTGGTACTAGAGATGCTTGGATCATGTCACGGTGCCATTATTGAATATCTTGTTTATGAATAAAGTAGCCACCATGCTGTGCAAATGCTATGAAAAATTTATCACAACAACTTTAATTAACAGGGGTGTGGTGAAAATAATTTTGCCACAAACAGGTATGATGCAGCCAAAGTAAAGCATTTTTAAGTCACATTAATTTCAATAGGTGAGTCTTAAGCACATGTTTAGCTCTTCCATTCATATTAATAGGACTCACATGAGCTCAGTTTTGATAGCATTATGATCTATATCAGCCTTCTTCAACCTGATTGTGTTCAGATATTTTGGACTACAATTCCCATCAGCCCCAGCCAACATGGTTAAGGGCTGTTAGGAGCTGTAGTCCAAAACATATGAAGGGCCCCAGGTTAGGGGTGCTTCTATATGTTTATATAAAATACCAATACCTTGTAAGGAAAGAGAGCTGATCCTGAAAAACTCAGGAAGGGTTCAGTAGAGCTACTTCTTCCCTGCACTGTTGTTATTTGAGTGGTCCTTTGTTTATGGATACATACATGCAAGCTATAGCACAGAACCTTTCAGAAGCATTGAAGTTAAGGACCACTCCTGCCCCCTTCTCAGAGTAAATGTACTTTCAGCACTCTATGTGTTTCAGCAAGATGGAACATGCAACCTATTCCATGCTTACTTGACCATGCTAGAGCCGCAGCATAGAGGTCAAGCTTCTACAGTAAGAATGGAGGGCAGAATACATGACCTTTAGAGGACCATATGAACAACAACAGCTACAAATAAGCAACACCACTGTCTTCTTTGTAGATTCCGGATGCAAACTCATATGGATGGTTTGCAAACTTGCCAATCTAGAGATTGGCACACAAAGTGCTCAAGCAGAAGACTCAGCAGTGTTGTGATTCCAATGGAATGAGAATTTAATACACAGTGATAAATGAACATGGACATCAAGGGTCATGTAGCTGCTCAAGGACAAAAACTTCTCTGGAAACGGCAATAGAAGGCCCTTGCATTCCGGTGGAGAATACTCGATGTTTAACTGGGAACAGTAATTTAAAATATGGTTATTGTCTAAAACAACAATTTCTGAAAGCCTTTGCGATAATTCTGCAGCAACCTCCCATCTGTAAACAATCTGAAAGATCAGCTTCTCTTTAGACGTAGATTATAGTCAAGAGAACTAAAACGTATTTTTTTGAAAAATCCACTGAACAAGAAGTGAAGTAAAAATTCCCAATTCATATGGATTGAACTCCAGAAAAAAAGAAAATAGAAATGCAAACTGGGCTGTAAGACCCACTTATCCTTGTAGATCTGCATAAAACAAAGTGCTGTAATCATACAGTCCTTTGGGTAAAAATGGTTGGACAAAAATCTGAGCTCTGAAGGATCCTGCTACCAATCACTGCACTCTTCAAAAGAGGACATCCTGCAGATACTGTCTTATCAGGAGATCTTTTCCGCATGACATGTGGTGAAACTCCCGTTACATATCAGACAAGTGTCCTCTTTTGAGTGCCTATTGAAGACTCCCTTCTTCCAATATTTTCATCCTGGTCAGTATATGAACTTGAAACTGTTTTCTATAGATAGAGTTGTTTCATCTATGTTTTTATTGTATTGTGAAATCACTTCATGATGTTTCATAGGAAATGATTCATAAATGAAAGAAACAATATCATCATCGTTTGAGTATAAATGAACATCACTCACAACAAACATCGTCATCCCTTGACTATTTCAAACGGTTGGAATGATCACTTGACTATTTCAAACGGGTGGAATGATTTTGGCTGTTTCCTTGACATCTGATGAGAGGGTGTTCCACAGGGCGGGTGCCACTACCGAGAAGGCCCTCTGCCTGGTTCCCTGTAGCTTCACTTCTGGCAGTGAGGGAACCACCAGAAGGCCCTCAGAGCTGGACCTCAGTGTCACTCCCTGCCTTTCCTATGCTACACAGTTGCCAAGATATAAAAATACTCCAAAGCACAGTAGATTATATTTATAGTGTAAGTGCACTAATACATTTTTCTTGAGTTG